CTGAGACATTTGCAAGTATATTTTTTAATAACGTAACACTATTCAAATGAAAATGTGTGTAACTATTTTCATCTACATTACTTCGTGAGGGTTACACTAATAGGATTATGTACCTGAATGTACCCAGTATTCCATTTCAACGTTCACATTAGGTGGCCTTAAACGATCAAAAAACATCAGTCATCACCGATATCAGAATCACCTTGTCGTACTACGAATGGTTAAATTATTCATTATTGAACAAATTTGTCTTTCCAGTGATAACCTTTTATTAGGAGAACTTGCTCCACTAAAATCCACACGGTGATTATTTCAGTAAGCTCTCACAGTTAATCTTCAAAGCAGTATAATAGGTTTCCTATTATCAATAAAATATGTTCATCTCCGTTACACTCCGTGTGTGTAAAGCTAAATAAAATTATGTACCTGTATGTACCCGGTATTCTATTTGAACGTTCCCACATTTATGTGGCCTTAAAGGATAAAAAAAACTTTAGTCGTCACCAAAAACAGAATCACCATACCTCTAATTGGTTAAATTATTCATTTAATTAAATAAGATTAGGTCTTTCTGGTGAGAACTTTTCTTGAATAACTTCTTTATCAGCATCGTACGTGTTGTTAAATTACCTGAAAGCAAAAAAAATACGTCAAATAACACTTTTAATAATATATTTAAACTTATACTGTATACTGACAAGACGGTAAATGTATATAAAAGATGATAAGCTGGGATCGATTTCGATGTATTTACTATCTTGTGAGTAAACAGTATAAGTGTAAATATATTACAAAGTGTTATTACAAGTTATTACAAGTGTTATTTGACGTATTTGTTGTGCTTTCAGGAAACCTTTTCTTAGGAAAACTTGCTCCACTAAAATTCACACTGTGATTATTTCAGTAAGCTCTCACAGCTAATCTTGCAAGGCATTATAATAGGTTTCCCCGGTAGCTCAGAGATGTAGCCTTAATATTCGTGTCGCCATGTGACTGATGAAGATGAAGACAAGACGTGTCGCAAATGTGAAGCAATGTCGCTTACACTGATGGATGTTACCAAGACGGTTCATGTAAGACGATTCAAGGGAAACATTTCAACAATAACGTCCTTGTTCTTCCCACTCATCACATAAAAGGGAAATGGAACATAAAAAGTGTTTAGAAACACGTACCTCGGTAATGTTTAGGAGATTAAATTTCAGTGTGCTTGGCTTTCCTTTTAGCAAATATTACTGAGGGTAAGCCTGTTTTTTGTCTGGGAAAACTAAATACTGCTATTAAACAAATATTATATAATTTGTCATGTACAAAATTACAAATTAGTTATTTGACATGTTTACGTATTTTATCAATATAAACGTAATTGAAGTTTTAAAACACTTAAGGTCCACTATCTTTTGCTATTTTATTTTTAATTTTATAATTGTTTACTATGTTTTTTTAAAGTAAATACATTTAAGAACACATGTACCAAATCTTAGGTAATCCTGACAACTATTTTAACTTTTTCTTTTGATTATTACTTTCTTGCGACTTAAGCACATCAGGAGGTTTTTAAGCACAAGTAAGATAATTAGCAAATTTTACCAGCCGTTTACCGAACATTAATTTTTTCGCGTTTTTACAAGACGTATTCTCTCATATAACTTTTGGACTATTATGTGCAAGGTTATTAAAATTTTACCAGTTGCTATTTAGTATAAAAATGATTTGTAGGTGCCCATCGGCAACCATATGTAAGCATTTGTAATTTACAAAAGTTTGTTGTAAAAATATATTTTAATAAAATTAGGTTTAGTAAACTATGCGTTATTTTATTTTTGTACACAAGCTAACATGGATTAAATGTCGGCAAAGTTGCAGTGCATCATTAAAAGCAGAATAAATAAAGAAAGAAAGAATTATCTTGATAAATAAAAAATTATAAGACAAATAATAAATTGTAAAAAAAAACAACAGGAAAACTTGAAAATCCTATATAAATATACAAAAAAAATTTCCTCTGTATATTTTTCCTTTAACCTTTATTCAAACTATCTTATTGCATCAAATACATTTTTGAAAAAATCCTACATAGTGGTGGGTGCCCTTGACTCTTCAAAAGACTGTTAAAATCAATAACATATTTTTATAGATTTTATTATTTCTTATGAACGAAATCCGTCAATTATGGATTATGTAGGATGAGTATAATAATGCACCATTATAGACAGGCTATATTGTAATATACAAAATGATGTTTTTGGAAAGTCTAATGAGTTAACATTAGAATTGGGGTATTGGTTAAATATAACCAGTAACAGAAATATGGCATTGAATAGTGGGGTAATGCAGTATGGACAACAATTTTATAGTTTTTATTGGAGATCCTCCATTTAAAATTTTCATATTTTGACTGAAAACAGTTGATTCCATTGCAGGTATCAATCCTATACACGCTGGCAGAATGGTAGACTGATTCCTTATATAATTGTTAATATTTTTGTCATGAAGTCATTGTATGATTTTTTTAATCATCCTGAGTAGCACACGAATGTTATACATACATTTTTGTTCTTACATAATATGCTATATAATATAATTTGAAGTTGACCTATTGTTTAAAGATCAACAATTTTTTATCGTAAAAAAATTTGATGTAAGATATGCTGAGTAGCTCACAAAAAAATATATAACTCATATCATACAGTGTGAGAAAATCTATCATTAATGACTAATTTCCAACATCTTAAAAGTCGGATTTGTGTTAGTTTCTCTTGAATTACTTCCTTACATTACAAAAGACCATTGTAACAGGTAATCAAACATAAGGGTAGCTCTATAACCCCCCCCCAGGACCCCCCCTCGACACCCCCCTCGAACCCCCCCCCCATCACTCGGTGGTGATGATGCGACATTAAGGGTGAAGGGGCAAGGGTGATTCTACTTTATTACAGTAATTAAACGTAGTCGCTGTGTTTAGGCAAAGCTTCGCAATCACAAAAACGTCAGCTTTGTTTACACTTACTAAACGACTTTAAAGCTCTCGGGTATTTATTTGGAGGTAAGAAGGTAAATGGAGGGCTCAAATTTGTCTTTTCATAATTACTGGTGGTTTCTGTGAATTTCCTTTACGACTTCTTGTCCCAGCAAACATTGTTTTGTTCTTTTGCATCCTAAGTTTTTTCGATGGTGCGTTATGTATTTTTAACGGTGAACAAAGGGAAATTTCTAACACACATACATGTTTGGGGTACGATAACCTGGTGTCTTACATCTTATCTCTCTGTGGTTAGTTGTCATCTTTTAAAAAGGTAGTTTTCGCCAAACTACTGTGAAATTTCTGTTTGCGTTACATGTTTATCACCTGCGAAAATTCAACATTACATTGTTTTCTACGGAAAAAGAATATTTACTATGCGAAAATAATGTTTACTATCTTTTTTTGAATTTTCCAATGTAAACGAAGATTTGTTATTGTTTTTACAACTGTTTCAATTTTCAACAACTAAAACTGTACAAGGAATGTAAATATTTAAATGGAAGTCACAACCTAAAAAATGCTATGAGTTTTGTAATGTTCCTAACTGCAATGAATATCCAATATCTGTTGTAACTGAGAAAATAATTAGTCTTTTTAGTGTAGCGAAAATTAACGTTAAAAACAGGAGTGAAAGTGGGTCTATACATATTTTCGACCCTTTACAGTGCTCAATACATCATGCACTTCAAACATGGTTTTAAATAAACTATTTAATAATTTTGAAGCTTAGCCATGAAGTTATTGATTTTATTTGTGACTATGTAAAGTAACCCCCCTTTATGGTGTGTTTTTTTTTAGGAAAATTTAAAAACGTATTTGTAATTATTTTAATAAGTATTTCAAATTGAGATAGGGAAAAGGTTTAAGTATCATAAGCCAACTAAAAATTGAAGTAAAACCAAACTATTCAGTACACAATGACCATAATTATCCAATATTATATACAATTATTGCATATATTGTATTTGTTCGTATTTATTTGAATTTCTTGGAATTTCGTGTATCTACCTTACCGAAATTGCGAACAAATTTAATACCTATGCAACATGTTTTGAGCCCTATTTAAGTGCGCAATTTGTACAACTTTTCCCTCATTGTCTTTATTTACTAAAATCAGTCACAAGAGTTTTAAATTTGTCGAGCAAAACTCACAGCTTTGTATATTATGTTAAATAGAGTGGAAGGTTTATAGTAGACAAATATTATTCCAACTCAATTCACTGTTAAAAGAGACCTCGGAGACTTACAAATACCACAATTAAGGAAGTTCGCTGAAATTGGATTATCTCATTTGCCTTATTCTTGTTCTCCAAAGGAATCAAAAAGTTACTCTTTGTGGTTTTTGTAAGAGTGAATTATGAAATTGACTAATCTTTTGGTTATGTCTTCAGCGTTAACTACCTCAGTATTTTCGTCTCTACGGCACTTGTTTTACCTCCCAGTTGACATTTTATGCTTTGAATTTTAAATCTTAAGACTTTTGTCTTAGATTTTTTCTCTCAAATGAGTTATGAATGTTTTTTTAGGATACAGTAGTACCATTTTTTTTAAACAAGTGATGCTTAAAAACGCTTAAATAGTTGTTGGCAACAACAAAAATACCACGATAGTATGGGTAATGTTTATTTAAGAATCATTTGCAATGAATAAAATTTTATATCCTGAATTTCATTAAACCTATCTAGGATATTTTTTTTAGTTTGTGTGAAAAGTTCTCTTGAATACTCTTGGTATTGTCTTGAATTATACTACTCTTGTCTAGAGGTAGAGCTCGAAGCTTCAGAGCCTGAGGTCCCGGGTTCAAATCTCGCCAATCACCAATGGATTTTACCCATGCGATAATGCCACGCCCTCTAGGACTAGCCTGAAGTAATGTATAGAACAGTTCCGGGCTAGCATCCAGCGCCTAGGTGAAGGTGGGACATAACAAATGCATTTACCAAAGACTCCAAGCTGACCCATGTTCTGTCCTCAGCATCGAGACACCCAGGAGACCCTTGCTGTTCTGGACAGGCTGGACCTGGACACAGACAAGCCGAGTGACGAGGAGATGGCCAGGAAGTTCGGGTTCGAGGAGGACTACTTCCAGGGCACACTCTCCTGGTGGCAGAGGCTCAAGCCGCAACTTTGGTCCCTCTTTGATGAGCCTTACTCCTCCAACACTGCCAAAGTATGTATCAGGTTTGACTTTTGTACGTAAATAACACATCCTTTTAACTCACCTGTAGTTAAAAGCTCATGTGTGTGTTACAGTCTTTGTTTTATATCGTTCAGTTTGTTACGGTGATTGTTGCTGGGGCATAGAGGATGAATGCTACAGTTTTTTTTTCAGCTAAGCTTGGATCAACGGATGGCACATTCGACCAAAATCAAAAAATAAATTCCAAATATCACCAAAAAAGTTGGGTTTTGAACACTTTCCCAAGAAAGTCGTAGATATGTTTTATTTTCAAAATTAGCAATTGACATCGTATTCAAACTAACATAAACATGGAAATAGAGTGTCTTAGTTATATCCATAGTCATGGTACCAATCACTGTTGGTCAGTGAATGGCAATATGTGTCATAATGTATAATTTTGTAAAGCTACAAGTAAGTATTTAATTTTGATTTTAAGATATGTTATGTGGATCAAACCCGATATTCATAATGTCAAATTTAGAGTTGGGTGGGCATTAATTGCACCAACTGACCTGAGTCATGTAGTCGGGTATTCCTGAATTGCGCCAACTACTCCAGGGAGCCACCCGATACGTAAACCAAGTGGCGATCCTCTTTCATTGTATAATTGAGTAGGTTAGGTTAGGATGACACGTAAACAAGGACATTCCTTCTGCCGGCAACTCACCTCTACCTGGTTTAGGCTTGACGCAACTAAGGAATATTTTTTGGGGCCCTTTGAGGGCTTGGCGCAATTAAAGAACCCTTTGGCGCAATTCATACACAACTTTAGGGTTGCAAGAGATCTTGAAATCGCGTACTGTTATTTTCCCTTGTTATGTTTGCGTTGTTTGCTATTTGCTTTTAATTTTAATTTTCCAAATGTGTGCTCAAACTCCTTGTGCTGGGAGATTATCGATCCATTTTCGTACTTTTCTTTAAAAATAATTATGTTTTAGACTAATACGCAAAATAGTAATAATTGAAATATGTGTTATCTGGTTTTACTGTCTGTGAACGAAGAAGAATTGATTATACTGTTAGAAAATAACAAAATTATTGTTATCACTAATGCATTTGTCATTTTACAGTAAATCTAAATTTTTGGGGAAACGAATGTAGTAATTCACAAATATATGCCTACTCTGTAAGGAACATTTATATAACAAAGGTTTACTAGATACACCCTAAAACACTCTTTCTTGTATTAAAATGTACTCCATAATACTACACACCGCTACAGTGTTTGTACTACTGCTCAAAACAATATTTAAATGTGCTTGGAATTATTTTAACTGCATCTAACGCGTTCCATAGGTGACATAAGTGAAATTTCCCAAATAGTGGTCTTGAAGAGTAAATTTGAACCGTTACTAAGTCTGTGACAGTTCAATATCTCAGATCCGATGAGCTTTGTGCTGTGTTTGAGGCCGGGTATTGCGGGACAACGGAGATATTGTGGATGCCAACTCAGCTATCGCGTTATTGCTGATGCCAACTCAACCTCAGCGTTCTTTAATACGAAACGCTCAATACAGCTAATGGTGTTGTTTGTCAACAAAACACAACAAAGTGTCTAACATTATCTATGTCGTCAAATCACTATTTCATGGGTTTTTATATGTATTTCGTATATTACTGCCATTAGAGTAGTTTCAAATAGCTTACCTATATGTGTACAAGATTCTTTTAAAAAAGTTAGAAAAGTTACAAACTCAATGATCAAATGGATCAATGATGATAATAATCCCTATTAAAGAGCTTCAGTCATTTAGGGTATGGTTAACAAGTAACTTTAACACAATATAGGTACTGACCTTAACATGATGTTGTAATGTTACAACTGACTCTACCACAATGTCCGTAATGCTCACAATGAGACAAAATGTTAATACTATGTCGGTAATGTTTCAGATGATCGGGATAATCTCGGTGTTCTTCATCTGCGTGTCGATCTTGTCGTTCTGTCTCAAGACTCATCCCGACATGAGGGTTCCAGTGATTGTCAATATCACGGTCAACACGTCTCACAACACGGCCGGCTGGACCCTGGACAAGACACAGACCAACGCGCACGTCGCCTTCTTCTACATCGAGTGTGTCTGCAACGCGTGGTTCACTCTGGAGATCCTGATACGATTCGTCGCTTCTCCCAACAAGTGCGACTTCATCAAGGCGTCCGTCAACATCATAGACTACATCGCAACTCTCAGCTTCTACATAGATCTGACTCTGCAGCGATACGCGTCGCACCTCGAGAACGCGGACATTTTAGAGTTCTTTTCGATAATAAGAATCATGAGACTGTTCAAGCTCACGAGACACTCTTCGGGTCTCAAGATACTCATACAAACGTTTCGCGCGTCGGCGAAAGAACTCACCCTTTTAGTGTTCTTCTTAGTGTTGGGTATAGTGATCTTCGCGAGTTTAGTTTACTACGCGGAGAGGATACAGGCGAACCCCCACAACGACTTTAATAGTATCCCGCTGGGCCTGTGGTGGGCACTGGTCACCATGACGACGGTGGGCTACGGTGACATGGCGCCTAAGACGTATGTGGGAATGTTCGTGGGAGCTCTGTGCGCGCTGGCGGGAGTGCTGACAATAGCGCTGCCCGTACCAGTCATCGTCTCCAACTTCGCTATGTACTACTCGCACACGCAGGCGAGGGCCAAGCTGCCCAAGAAGAGACGTAGAGTGTTGCCGGTGGAGCAGCCACGGGGCCCTAGACTGCCCGGACAGGCCGCCACACCCGCGGGAGGGCCCGGGGGCCCCGGCATACCCGGCACCACCCCCACGGGGGGCCCCGTCTCCGTGCAAAACCGACGGATGAATGCCATTAAAGCGAATCACCCGAAAGACATTATGGGACCAAAAATGGGTAAGTGCTTGGTTGCTTGATGTGCTTTAGCTTCGGCTGCTTGTAGTCGCTGTGCCACGCTGATTGACGGCTGTAGCTGTAACATGCTGCTTTACCGTTCCATAAATCTAGGCCAACGCGATACAGATCAGGTGATATCAGCTGGGATGTAAAGTTTTATAAACCATCGTTATTTTAAAACAAATGCCTTAAAATGGATCAACTATTTTGAAAAACCGGCAAAATAATTGCTAATTTCTATCTTATAATATAATAAATAAATAATAAGGTCATGTAACTTGTGTTGATCAATTCTTTTTAGTTGTTTCGTAAAAAACACTTTTTAGACAGTACGTATATGAAATAGGCAAATAGTTGATAATAATATCAAAAAAGAAAACATGTAACTACTTTAGTTTTGATGCTTCATAACTTCTCAACACAATATCAAGTTTTACTTGTTTAAACTGCGCTTGCAACACGCTTGCATTCACTATGTATTGTGTTTTATTCTGCAAATAAGTCATCGATTTACATTTGATCTGATTTCATGAGATCTTCCTTTATAAAAATATTTTAATTTGCATATTCTTTTAGTATACAGTATTTATTATTTCTCTTAGCTGCTGCGAAAATTTCTGGTTATAACTTCATTTTACTAATTTTTTAATGTATTCAATCTACAAACGTTTATTAAACTTTATGACTTAAAAAAGGTGGATCTTAGAAATTTTGCAGTCTTTATTTGTAGCCACACGGGTTCATTTTGTATCCAACAACCACGTTTTAACCAATATCCGTAAAATTTTTAAACCACAATTGATAAAATAATTAACAGTGTTAAATTTATAAGTTGCACAAATGGTTCGCACAAATCATAGTTTAAGTGTCCGTAGTAATTTTAGTATGTATGAATAAGTATTTAAGTTACAAAATGCAAAAATAGCAAATTAACTTATGAGCATTATTCAAATAAAAAATTATTAAATAAATTCTTATACAGTTCTTTGTAAGTACATATAAAATTCGCATAAGAAAATAAACACGAAAAACTCTGTTAAATGTTTTCATCATGTACAATGTACATACATAAAATTTATAATCTAAAAATATCTAAATTTATAAATTATCTCTTTCTAATACAAAAAAAAAAACTCTTGGATGAATTTTTGTTAGATCTAATTACTGTTGTTAGAAGACATAAACGTCATGCAAAATAATAATATGAGATAAAATGTTCAAGATAATTGTTAAAATGAAATATTTAACTTATATACCTATACCTAATAAAAACCTATACCTAACGGTTCAGTATATCTATGAACTTCTTTACGATTACGTTAGGGGTATAGTACAAGTCCGTAAATACATAAGTCTCGTATATAAATATAATAGTTTAAATGATAATAATATCTAGTTCTTCTTAATATTGAAGTATTTAATTATAATACACATTTTAACAATGAATACGCATTCTGGTGTTGCATTAAAGATTATCCGCAACATAACACAACTACAATAAACGGACAGACAACACCGTTAATTCTTTTCATGTTTGGTTCGTGGTTGAACCAAAAATACCATCTGTTAAAAATATTAAAGATTTTTATTGGTTTGTCATTAGATTACGCTAATCATATTTTTTTTTTCTAGAACCTAAAATGTCAAAATATGTTACAAAGTAAATGTATATTTTAACCATGGAATAAAATCCATGTTAATTTTACTCTATCACATAATGAAAAAATTAACCAGTTTTTATTAAAAAATATTAATAGCATAAACGTACTATTTTATTTATTAAAAACTTTTTAATCTAAATTATTTCTGTTCTCATTATTATCACAAAACCCGTCCGAGCACTTGTAGACCTAAACTGCAGGATTTTTTACTTGCTTTCTTGTTTGCAGAAAATGAGCGCCGAAACTCAAACTTTCGTACGAATGGAACGAAAAGTGCGCAATTGGTCGGGGATTCCAAGTGAGCAAGCACAACACCACGGTATACAGTATAGAGTCACTTATCTATGTTAGCTAGAGCCTAGCGCCCCCTCCGTTGCATGCTCCGCTACGTAGTTAGTTCGCTACCCCCTCCTCTTTTGTCCCAGGCTCCGCATTTTCTAACTACTCATTTGGAAAACCGAGGTATCTTCGTGGCTGTTACGCATGTTTGTTTCTCGTCTCTGAGGTAGGTCTCTTTTGATATATTTTGTGACACGCACGATGGCCTGAATGCTCACTTACCACATTACAATACTGTTGCACAAAATCGTAATTTCTAATTAGGTTAAAATATTATCAAATAAAATAACCAGATCATGATTAGTTAGAGGTAAAACAACCAAATACAGTATTGTTTAATATTGAATCGGTGATTTTGTTGTTATCCATTAAGCTGCTTTGGTAACAGGGTGTGAATAATAAGGATTATTTTAATCGGATATTGATTTGTATAACACCCATTAATACGACGTGTGTTTTAAAAACTGATTTTAGTTTGGTTGGGTTAGGTTATTTTTAGTCGTCGAGGAATTGTTTGTTAGGCTTGAGTGTCGGTTAAGGTATTTCTTTCTTGATAATTCATTGTTTCGAAGAATAAACTTGACACTGCAGCAGTTATGATTGTTTGAGAAGTATAGCATTTTTTTCAAAGCTGGCTATGACGTGGTTGGACGTTATTTTTACATAACTTTTAGTGAGCATGACTTACCATTGACAACTTTATTACTTAAAAACTATATAAATAACAATAATACCTATGGTACCCTTTCGAAATAGTTTTGATTTTAGAATTCAACTTACGATTTTTAACGACATAAATTTTCAAGATTTGTTTGTAAAATAAGAGATGTTATCAATTTAATTAAAAACTAATTCATTTACCTAATTTGTAGTAGCAAAGTAATGATTTGGTTCTCTTAAACTACTACGGTTAACACCCTTGATTTACATAGGCTATATCAATAGTTATAAATTAACTCAATCTTCGAAAAATAGGTTTGAAAAAAGAATAGCTCAGTGATGTTTACCTCCCAAAATGCATTTTAAAAATCATTTGAAGAATTTCAACAATCGTGTTTAAATAGGCCTATTTATCTTTGTTTCATAGATTTATTTAATTGGTCGATATTTGTGGAAATAAACTTCTATTAATATTTTCCAGATAAAAACTATAACAAATGCTGTTTGACAAGGCGTACAGCGATGGACAGGTTAATTCTTAATCACGCTGCCTTTGAAAGGGAAAACTCCAAGCTTGAAAACAGCCCAGAGTGAATAATATATTGTAAACTATGTTGATATGAAATTCAATTTGTCCCTTGCAGGGATTTAGAGTGTGTCGCCGGAGTAAAAAGGCTGTATGTAAGAATTGCTCGGAAAACCTCTCCGATATTAATATTACATGGATGATTTTCATATGCGAAACGTGATGTTTTGGAATTAAGGTGATAATGATATCGCTGAATATTAAATTTTCTTTGGATAGTTTTATGTATAAATACAGGGATCCCGGAACTCTCTACCAATATTTTTGGGCATTGTTCCTGGGAAAGAAACATATCTAAATATCTAAATATTTAAATTGTCCGAAAGTCCTTAACTACTCACACAGCCGCCATTTAGTTTTTTTTCACTTAGAAATCTTTTTCTGAAAAGTGGTTAAACATACGAAATTGAAACTTTGCAGAAACATCTATGACAACTAGACAATGCTACCAAAAAATTATGACAATTTTCCAATGCATAAAACAAAATTTTTTTGTAGCATTGTCTATTTGTCATAGATGTTTCTGCAAAATTTAAATTTCGTACGTTTAACCACTTTTCAGAAAAAAATTAATAAGCGAAAAAACAAATTAGTGGCTATGTGAGTAACTAAGGACTTCCGGACAATTTAAATATGCTATTTAGATATGTTTCTTACCCAGGAACAATGCCCTAAAATATTGGTAGGGAGTTCTGGGGCACCCTATTTTAAATTACATGGATCAAATAGGTTACGGATCAAATTAATGCTCACAATCCACAATATTTATAATCTTATGGAATTAAAATAAACAACCTACAATAATTATTTGTTAACCCTGAAGAAAAGTAATTGATTAATCAACGTTAATGACATCAAAAGGCGACAATATAAATACAAAGAATTTCTGCTGAAAGACAAAGAATGTTTCTGCTTTGAGTAAGCTCAAAAATTCAGTTTAATATCATTTCATATTTACTTTAAGTTTTTCTTTAAGAAAATTTCCCATATTCTTTTACCGTAGGCGTCACCCCATAGTATATCCAGGGACTAGCTCACTTGGTTGATTTGATGTTTCCAGAGACCAAAAACACCATATGCCCATTTACGCGAGTAATGAATTCAATTCGAATTCAGTGAATTCAATGAATTCAGTGAATTGAATTCGGTACACAAGTGTAAACCTACCACCATTATTCGAATGTGTTCTTAAACCAGGACAATAAGTTTTGAATTTTAAAAATTATTGATTTTATCTAACCAATGTACCATTTAAATGAACTATTGTGTCAGTATTAGCCTTTTGGGTAGACTTCCGAAAAAATTGACGATATATTATCGGATGAATAACAATATATATTGAAACTTCGATATATCGATTACATATATTTTTTTATTGTAACCATCAATTTCAAACTTGGTTTGTTTGCGTTTTTATTTATATTTAATATCTTAAAACTATCAATTTAAAAACATAAACACGATCTATAATATTAAAACGAAACAGGGGTTTTTTTTATTTCACGATTCTGAATCAACCACTTGACGGATTTTCATGATTTTTGTGTTGAAAGAAAGATAATTTTGAGAACTAGGGAATGTCGAAGCCATAATATTAGTTTAGGGTTTCAGTTTTTTAGAAATTAAGTTTTAATTTTTAAAAAGTCTAGCAGCCGACGCTAGCAATTTAAAGTATTTTCAATGCTGGTTTAACTAACAGCTGGTTTATAACATATGAAAAGACAAGTAATAAAACAAACAATAACCAAAACATGTATTAATGATAAAAATATTGAGAAATATGAACCTAAACCTACAAACAATTTCGTCCATATTTAGTCTTAACTATTTAAGTGTAAATTAGAAATAAAAGGCTTCGTTTATGTTATTGTTTTAATTTATGGTAAAATTAAAATCCTTGCAAAATGAATGTCAAACCAGATAAATATAGATATATTTGGATATTTATCGTTATTCATCCGACAATATATCGTAAGTTATCTGTGGAAGTGTACCCAGACTTTTTGCTATAAAGCTCGAAAACGGTATACCTCCGGGTTTGCGCCGTTGGCTGGATATTTACGTGTCTTATCACTGGCTTCACCACCACTGGCTTCACCACCACTGGCTTGTTCATTTAACCATTCAACATTCATTTTACACGTGAAGGTGTATCCTGTTCTAAAATAGCGTCACAGAACTATAGATATACTGTAGTTGAACCCCTTCCTAAATAAAATTGATTATCAATTATCACCGATACTGGGAGCTCCGAGACTAATTTCTCATATGAGGAACAAGCTATTACCGTAGGCTAAAATAGCTGCCTAGACTCGGGGCCGATTTATTTCGTTTGATGTCCTCAGAGGCCAAAAACACCATTCGTTAAGAATTATACGTTTTGAATAATAAAACGTTGTTATACAATTATATGATTCGAAGAAAATTAAAATAAACTGTACATTTTAAATTTTTGTGAAATTCTTACGGAGAAACGTAAACTATTGTAGTTTGCTTATACTCTAGTTTTGTTGCAATTTTGTTTCTTTATTTGAATAATCAATCCAGCTTTTAAAGGAAACAACAGCTGTTGTGTAAAGCACTCAGTCGACGTTGAATCATTTGATTGAAGGCAGAAGCAAATTAATCATCTTCTGGCGCAATGGTTTGCCTGAGTTTACGATCCTTTGCTTACAAGTAAAACACAGCACTAGAGTTTTATTTTAAAAAATGCCTTTTGATTTTTAAATTAGATGTGAATTCTTTATAACAATGGAAGGCTAGATTCATGTAGGCTACAATTTTCAATTTATGTACTTTTTCATTGTTTACAAACTGTCTGCTTATGATCTCGGTGGAAAGTTTTGGAATCAAGTATTATTTTCGTATGATGTGCAGTAAATAGCACTACAAACTACAATCGATTAAATTGTTAAGGCAGAGAGCTTTGAAATAGAGAATTTGTAACCTCAGGAAAAACCTTGGCTGGCAACTCAGTATATGAATATTTTCGTCATATTACCTATAAAATATCAAAAAGTGTGGTTCGCGTAGAATTCATCATCTTGAATGAAGCCAAGGTTGGTTGTTGGTTGGGAGCGCGGTATTTCCTCCACTACTCTCTCTCTCTCTCTCCCACCCATGTATTGATCCGACCTACCCTCTCCCTCCACCAACCCCCCTCTACCTTACGTCCTACTGACCACTAGTTGATATTATTTGCCGCTTGTATTCACCTCTACTCAATAACCTCGCTGGCCACAACATTAGAACTCTTCTACCCCTAGATACCTGACCGCAGCACTGGGAATCTTTCCAAAACCACCACTTTGAATTGTAAAGCGGAAAATTTATCTGACGTTTTTGTGAAATAGTTATGGTTTGAGGTTCGTTGTATCAAAGGTCTGGATTAACTCAGATCGTAGCTAATTCATCTTTAAAGGTTTAAAAATATAGGCATTATACTACACGTTGGTGGCAGGCGTTTCATGCTACAAACCATCGTAGATTATCCTCCCTTAGAGATTTCATCCTTATGTAGCTTGTAAGTTAGTTATGCTCAATAACACTTTAATAAAACTGTTGATTTCTTGTATTATTTCCTTTTAATTTCACACCCTTGAACGACCTGATACAACTTTGTTTATAATATATTTGATCTTATGTTAATATAACCAAAGGAGCACAAACTTCAAACTTTCTAAAATATAAAAGATGCTTATTTGGTATCGACACATTCAATCAAAACAGAACATGGATAATGCATAAAAAAATATTTTAAACGTTGGAAGAATGAGAAGTATTCATAGCATCCGAAGTCAATAACAATCATAACAGCGATGCATGTCGAGATTTGCAGATACGGAAGGGCGAGTCTGCTAGAATGAGGTCGGAGTAAGTGATGATTGGGGAGGCTATTAACTAGATGATGTAACCGTCAACCTAAATCTTACTGGCGGTGTTTCATTTGCTATACTACCTCAAGCCATTTTTCATTTTTAATTTTTGCTACTACATACCATGTACTCTCTTAGGGAGTGTGTCTAATCTATGCTACTACTAATATGCCATCAGTGTTTGAACTTGCCAAGGCAACGGTTGGAGAGTAAAAAACAGTTCGAAACTATACCAAGCTGTCAATGTTTAGAAAAGGTCAAAATTTATTAAAATGCCTGGTAGTAATACTGTACACAATTTTACCAAAATCAGACCATAGGCGCAGTCGGTGCAGTCTGTAGCTCTATTAACATCCACACATCATCACATCGAAACCCAAATTGTTTGGTTCAGGCTGCAAAAAACGGAGATATCTACCCAAAAATCAAACTATAAAACGAATATTTAATGAAGAAAACAATACTTTCTCCATAATACTATACTATGTACTATGCACTCCAATGTATAGGTAGTGGGGCCTTGGTATAGGTGTAGAGAGTAAAAATAATAATCCTCAGCGGATGAAGGGAATTTATAATTTTGGTGATTGGTTGGGGGGTCAAAAGAGGTAAACGCCACTCTTTGTGTAACCTCACCAGAGACTCTAGACCAACAAGCTTCTAGGCCAACAACCACCAGAAGTTGCAATAATTGTCATTGTCAAGACCATCATTGTAATGTTCCTTTCTAATCTTCAAATTGAAGCAAGGAAAACTCTTCTTATACGATATTTTGACAAGCGGAGATTCAGTTTGGTTTTCTTAGTTTTTAAGATATTCCAAATTTTAAAATGCCTAAAATGGTTCAACTGTTGATATTTTGTAAAAGCTTAAGTATTCAAACTAATAAATTTTGTACCGTAACTATCTACAATAGGTTGTTGCTATAATGTAGGGTTATTTTCATTATCTTATTAGAGGATCCAAAATATTTAAATTCTGCCTAAAATATTTTACATTAGAATGAACTTTACAAAAGTGGTAAAACCATCACAAACAAAAATGATATCATAAACTATTATTTTTGTCCGTTATCTAATTAAAAGATCTGAAAGAGCCAATCCAATCCAATCACAGCCTAATCCCTCTGATTGAAAGTTTCTCTTCACCTAACTACAACGATTTGTTTCTCCAGCTTTTGAATCAAGAAAACGTCAGAGATTAAAGAGTCTCCTTGATTGCGTTTATTTATTTCAGAGTTTTATTTGATCGACAGCATCCTACGCAATATTATTTTATTCTTTGCTTTGTGAATTTTTAGTTACAAACCGTTCAAAGCCTTAGTTAAAATGCTCTACTGTACATATTGTAGTCTTTTTAGACTACGTCAAGCATTCAATGATCAACGATATCTTTAGTTGCATAGTTGTTTAGTAGTACTTTTATACATTGATGGAATAATAAGATTTTTTAATACCCCATTGCGTAGCACATTAACTCATTTAAAATGCGATTGTTGGTTTTTCCTCACCAAAAGTTGACAGTAAAAATATTTCTACCACTGCATGGAAATGATCACATTTCCATACCTATAATAAGTACGCAAAATAGCTCATTTACGCTCTAGAGCGGGAATGAATCATTTACGCTCTAGAGTGGGAATGGATCATTTACGCTCTAGAGTGGGAATGGATCATTTACGCTCTAGAGTGGGAATGAATCATTTACGCTCTAGCGTGGGAATGGATCATTTACGCTCTAGAGTGGGAATGGATCATTTCCGCTCGCTAACCAGCTGTTTACACAGTTGCCGTTTCTACACCAATACGTTCTACGACCACAGCCGTGGATCTGGTACGTTGGTTAACAACCAGTAAGTAAATAACATAACTAGCCTGTGTGTTATTACAAGTTAATTATGGTGGTAGGAAAAAAGCTGTGTGTATTAGCTCTTAGTACACAAATAGCTATTGAAGTTAACCATACAACAACGTATGTTGTATTTTGGGTACAAATAAAGTATTTCTATTTAAAATCTAAAGTGTTGCTATACTTCTTGGAATACGAATGAACAATTCAAATGTAGCTTGATATTAATTCAGTAAAACTTATGGTTAAAGATTATTTGCATTGAAAAACAAATATGAGAAACATGAAGTCATCTAACGCATAAAAAAACAGGAATGCTTAAATGTTCCATAGCTTCATATAATCAGATCTAATCATTTTATACCTTTACGGATTCTAAAACTGTGTGTGCTTTTAAAAGGATAATGATTTAAAACAACATACTCTAGTTGGATTTTTTCAAAATTAAATGTTATCATTATACCTCAATTTGAACGGTGAAAACTGCCTTTGATTCAAAACCATGAAAACGGAATTTAAGATGCTTAAGTCTTAAAAGTTTATATTTATGATGTACGAGTAGGTAGAGTGATATCTGACTAATAAAATTAATTAAAGTTTAAAAAAAGAGAGATTTTTAGGTAAATTGTATAGGTAGGGGTTTCTTCTGTTCACAGGAACATGCATATGTTTATACAACTAGTAATTCCTAAAAAGAGGAATTATTTTTTTAATAATAAATGGGTGGAGTAAAAAAATTCCAACGAATGACGTTTATGGATAAATAGAAATATTTGACTACTATGCTAAAAGATGATAATTAAGAGCGAACCAATGTTTAAGATTATATAAAATAAACAAACGGTCCATATTTTATTTATTTTTTTAACTACATTCACAGGAATGTTCATCTGTAATCTTTAATAAATTATCCTCGTATTCTTCACTTTTCACACAACACGTTGAGCACTACATTTAAGTAACAGTATACTATAGAAGCATTGGTTGATAACTGCATTTGTGCATGTTATGATTGGAAATAGTTCTGTTGTTCCCTTCTGCATGGCATGTTAGAATGTGCACTTACTATAAATTAGTATAAGTATTGATTTTGGATACTGAATTATACATACCAACCAAATCGACTAGCAGCAGGGGGCATTTTTTATAAATTATATTAATATTGTGGGAACATATATATTTTGTTGATAATACTCTAATTATGATAGTTCAAAAAAACTCTTCAGTAAAAAAACAATTATATTGAGCTAACAAACAAAGATGCTTCTTCTTTCAAACAAAAAATAACCATACCATCAGGCAAATAAGAGAGAAAGCAAATTGTATTTTACAGTAGTACACTATGTGAATTACCTGTTAAGGCGAGGTTGGACAGTCAAGTCCCAGCAATGAGGGTGGGACTGATTGTCCAATATTTGAAGTGCAGATAAAACTACGAAGAGTGATAAGGATTTTTCAGATAAATTATAAATTGGTGTACGATAGTTTAGAGCCTAACCCTAAAAAACTAAGAAAAATCTTACGTAAATTTTTAGTTTTTAACCAAAGTTAATGTTGAAACATATATATTAACTTGTTTATAGTGCATTTAGGTACGTATACCTTATCTTTACCTGCTTTTTAACTGTACAAACCGTCCCAGGGCTAATACAGGGACTGGTAATTTATTTATGTACCGTGAAAATATTTGACTACTGACTCTTGGCCTGTAGATCCTGGGACTGACTGACCTACAACTCCACACAATGTTTTTAAACTACTGACTTTTTGTCTGTAGATCTTGGGACCGATTGTCCTACACCCTCTACACAATGTTTTTCTGTAGACCTAGGGACTGATTGTCCTAAAACTCTACACAATGTTTTTAAACTACTGATCATTTGTCTGTAGATCCTGGGACTGACTGACCTACAACTCTACACAATGTTTTTAAACTACTGACCTTTCGTCTGTGGACCTTGGGACTGGTTGTCATACAAACAACCCTACACAATTTTTTTCCTTTAGACCCTTGGACTGATTGTCCTGAAACTCTACACAATGGTTTCCTATAGATCCTGGGAGTGAATGTCCTACAGCTTTCCACAATGATTTCCTGTAGACCCTTGGACTGAATATCCTAAAACTCTACACAATGTTTTCCTGTAGACCTTGGGACTGATTGTCCTACAACTCTACACAATGCTTTCCTGTAGACCCTTGGACTTATTGTCCTGAAACTCTACACAATGTTTTCCTGTAGACCTTGGGACTGATTGTCCTACAACTCTACACAATGCTTTCCTGTAGACCCTTTGACTTATTGTCCTGAAACTCTACACAATATTTTTTTTTGCTTCTGACCTTTCGTCTGTAGCCCCTGGTACTAATTGTCTACTACTGCAAATACTGTTTTAATTGTATGTTTCTGTCTTGTTTCAGTGGGTATGACCATGACCTTGAACCCCAACGGTGTAGGAGTGAAGGTCGAACCCGTCAAGAGCGCCCTCGGACCCTCGATACTTCAGGCTTGATGTCATAGGTTGTGTGTACCTTAAGAAACTATTAACTAAATAGGTGCTGAAATTCTATTAACATATTTTTTCTTCGATGTTGAAATGAGTTCTAAAGTTTATATTTTTCTCACGCTCAGACGTTTTACACATTAGTGGTTAAGAGGGAATTTACGAGCGAATGTGACAATTGTGTGAAAGTTTTTGATTAAGAGTGGAAGATTTTAGATTTAAAAGTGGTTGCGGGCACGTAGTGCTTGTTGAATAAGTTTGTAAAATGAACACATAAACACAAAAACGTATAACAATGTTATTAGCAACACACATAATAGCATTTTCAGATGTTATTCTAGAAAAGCTTCTTTATTCATAAAACTTAAATCCATGATTATTCATTTTAGACATATACGCCCTACAGGCAACCTATAATTCTTCATAATTTGAATCTGGACTTGAGGTTAGCATACTTTTGCTTTGATATTGTACCTTACAAATTAAATAGCGTTTTACAGAGTGTTACAAATGTTGAAATAAAAACATTCACCTGAATACACAATCACATGAAGCCATGAAATAAAAACACACTATACTACATCAGAAGAGAAATTCAATGTAAATTTTGTAAAGTAATACGAGCGTTCAAAACGTGTTCGGATTCGTATCCCGTAAGGCATCGTATTATACATCGTAATATAAATAGGCTCAAAATCGTCGACGTTGATTACCATTTGTGAAAAACTGAATCAAACATATAAATCTAAATTAATTTTTGGACTAGAATAATATTTGTTTAGTTCGTTGGTTTATGTGTGGTCAATTATCATCATGCGGAGAATAACAGGAGGGATATTTTTGCAAATGATTTTACCTAAAAATTAAAATGATTTTATCGTGATTTTTGGCTCTTAACAATACATCTACATTTGCAGTTTTAGTCTGAAGCAAGGTTTTTCGGATTAATATAAAAACAAAAACGTTTTGTGTAAGAAAGTTTAGAATTTAGATGATTACTCAGTGCATTTGAAACTCCCTGGGTTAAATACAAGTCATACGTGCAGTTAAATGAACGGTTTTAAGTGTCAGTTTTCCAAAACTGCTTGCATTCTTGCACCTCCCCTTTTCATATTAAGGCTCAAAATTCACAAAACCGTAACCTTTCAGAAATTTGAGGATCATTTTAATGATTTATTCAACAAGACTCGGACAAATTATTTAGCCTCAAGGAATTTCCTATTGAGTGTTAAGCTCTTAATGTCCAAACATTTACGTTTTTTCTCCAATTGGACTACACAATATCTTAAAGGGGATTTATCCGTAGAGAATGGAAACCTTAGCATCCAGCGGTAGAACCACAACATGGATTTCATATTTTGTCCTTTTTATATACACATTTTTGTCCTGAAGCATTCATAAATCTAATATAATAATAGTGCAACAGCCACTATCACATATTAGTGGTATCATACGAGTAAGTTTATAACATTTCCTACATTGCCTATCTTAACGATCCATGTAAAAATAAAATCGTAACAAAAAAACATTATGACAAATGAGTAATTATTTTGAAAATTATTCGATTTTCATTGGACGAGTGCCTCGCAACCACTAGTAGCTTAGGTTAGCAACTCAACTCGACCAAGACGATGCGACTAGAGTAGGGGACATGGAGGGTATTCACAACAGTTTAGCATTAGAGACACGAATATCATGTTCTAAACACTGTTTATAAATACTAGGCTTATATTTCATATGTATATTAAGCATCGATTTTTACCTGTCCGCTGAGTCCTAGCACATGACCCCGTGTAGATCTCTGACAGCACGAACCTCCGCAGTGTTTTATATGTAAATCAAACATTATGTAAAATAGGGTAAAATTAATTTTATGATATTAAATTCGTTACGATTAAAACATTCAATAAACTAACTGTTACACCAGAGTTTTAGTGAGAATTGCGACAGTTAACTATTGTAGTTCACATGCTTCCCGAAACTATTTTTTTACTTGATGTCTTTCAATTGCACTTTCATTATTGCTTCTTCTCTCTTGGAGTTTATAAATGCTAGTGTAGACAAGGTTTATATTTAAAGACATTGTCAAGTCAACTGTACATCGGTCCTTTGTCGGTTACGGTTCAAACGTTCTTTGCAAAGGTCAAATCGACTGGAAGATATTATAAAGGGAAAGAAATTTGTGATTATCTTTAGTAAAATAATTTAAAAAATCTATGTCACCTGACGAGATAGAAACAGCGTAGAAAATGTATTGCTAAATTTTTACATCTGACTTTTCTCTATAAGTTAATATTATTAAATCTACCCAAACCCTCTTGTAAAAAAGTACTCGATAAATTATCTTATTAACTTATAAACTATTGATTTTTTCGACCAAATTGTTGTTTCAGGCCAATTGAGTAATAACCTTCATGAATGCATTTTAATATGGCAATAATCTAGTCAGCTAGAATAATTAAAAACCTTTAATTTCATAGTAAAACTTTAATTGTTAACCTCATAGTTAAATATTATGTTGAATTTTAGAAAAACCTTATAGAACTTTCGTATACTGCAACAAGTTGATGAGTCTTGTTAAGATTTTATACTGCAACTTAAAAATTCCCTTTTGTTTGAATCTAATTATCATAACTGAAAATGTTTATGCAGTAAACATACTGTATAAGCTTTAAGGAATCATAACGCACTCCCATGTACGAATACATATCAAAAACTTTAATTCATAAATAATTCAATGATAAACTAGAAGATACAAACATAGGTTATTAATTCCAACTAATTCCAAATAAATGAAATTTTAGAAACCATATTGTAATAAGAAACACTTATCTGTTAATAGTTTAGTCATAAAGTTACGAAAATGCAATGGTCACCAATTTAAAAGTGTAAAATTATAAACAAGAAACACAACCGAAAAAGAAAATGGGATCAAGATGGCAGTTTTATCTGTTACAACTCTGTGATTGCCGTGCTATCTAGGTGTAAGAATGTGAACTGTAGTGCACTAAGGTATGAGAACATACACATAAGTGGTGGTTAGCTTTTTTTAATAAAGTTTGGTCAGAGTTTCATTTTTATGAAAGGTTGGATGTAGTTCAATTAAAATTACGCTGAAGCAGATATGCTTATATGATGAAATGTTTTCGTTTGAGTTTGCTCATGAGTTTTGAAAATTCTTAAAACCATTCCGTTTCAAATCGTAAACCTGTTTGAATTGAAAATTATAAATATTCTATCTAAAATACTTCTCATCATGATAGATGCATTAGTTATATTGACTATTGTCTCTCAAAATGTATTTATTTATTAGCATTTGCCCTGCTATTCGTATGTGTTCTTTTATCTAAACAATGTTTTTAAAACGTATGATTAAATCTCGAATGACTACTTGCCATGCAAATAACCCACTATGAATGGTATATACTCGTATTTAATCAAATATTCTTAGTTCGCAGTCAATCCAAGATTGTTTGATAGTTATTTGACAATTTAACAATATAAATTATCTATTGTCTGGTCCTTTTTAGAGTAAGAATAGAGTAATTTTACTTTATACATTCCTCTTGTTGTTTCATTGCATTTATAGTTGATTGCTCTAGTCATATATGTTTATCAACTATTCTAGTGAAAATTTATAACATTTTGCTGCTTTTATTGTAATTTCTTAACATACAAAACATGTTTGTGCTACAAAATTACAACATTTATCCATTTTAACTATTTTTAACTATTTTTTATTGATTTACATAACCAAAAAAATTTTAAAACCAATATACGGATCCTATAATATTAAAAAAATACAAAGCTAGCACCCATTGCAGATTGAACTATCTTTGGGAAAACCCCTTACCCAACTCATGTTTTTTTTTTATAAAAAAGTAGTACTCGTATGTTTACACACATACTTTAGACATCGGCAATATATTTATCTACTTAAAGTCATTAAAAACTCTATTTAAGAAAATGTTTGGAGCAAATAAACAACATTTTGATGCTTTGCCAGTTATCTTCGAATCTAGTGTAATTTTCTTTCGCATTCAATGAATATTGCTAGTTGTATTATTGATAACTAGTAATAATAATTATATCAATTACTAAACCTATCTTCGAGCCTTTTCCCATTATGGTTTAGGTTCATTATGTTTAAATAATTAAGTCTTTAAGTTTTTGTCTTAGCTTTAACTTGTTCGATATCAACTTTTTCAATTTATTTTGGAGGTAGTTGTTATATAAAGACAAATTTTATGTGATGTTACACATTGTAAAGAATGTTATCGGATGTACAGAAATCAAAGCCTCCAAGTTCACACTATGCGAGTATAACTTTGCATAAAATACTGCTATCGCTTTAAACTGCAATAATATCGGTTTTGTATAGCTTTACTGTATATAGGTAAAATATAATAACGATAGCTAAGTCTCTATTTTAAAAGTTGTAAAGCTCTTGGAAGGGTTTAAAATACTTTCACTGTGTTTAAATATTTAGGTAAAACGGAGATTTATTCGGGTGGACTTCCGTATCTGTTGGCACAAACAACCGAATGAAAGTATCGATCGATATATCGATTATTCGATATATCGTTTGGTTATTCAGCTAAGGTTAACCTAACTTAACTAACCAAACTATATACCGAATGAAACAATCGAATAATCGATATTTTCATTCGGTAGTTTGTGCCAATAGATAAGGAAGTCTACCCATTTATTCTTGCTGGTTATTTCAATTACAGATCTGAATGTCATATCACATTTATTCTTTATCACTTACCTGTTGTTATGTTCCAGTCAAAGTTTTCATCTTGGCTGCCAATTCTCACGCGAACGTAGGTTGTGCGTCTATTGTTATTGTATATTAAATTTTGGAAATAAAAGCAAATATCGTATATTATTGGACTGTTTTTATTCCTTTCCACAGTTCAATTAACAAGACAATGGACAGTAGGTATACTTCTAGAAAACCTACGATAAATTATCGGATGAATAACGATAAATATCGATATTTATCTGGTTCTATATGAATATATCTATGATTTTAATTTTACCATATGATAGAAAGAAAATAGCAATAACATTAACAAAGTTTTTTATTCCATGGTTCCCACTTAAATATTAAAGATTAAATTTGGAAAAAATTTTTTTAGGTTTTTAGTTCATATTTCTTAATATTTTTATAATTTATTTATGTTTCAGTTATTGTTTGTTACTTTTCATACAATAAATAAGGGGTTTTTATATTGATAGCTTTAATTATTACATATCAATAAAACGTAAGCAAACCAATTTTGAAATTGATGGTTGCAATACAAAAAATATTATAATCGATATATCGAACCTAATAAGTTTCGATGTATATCGTTATTCATACAATAATATATCGTAGGTTCTCTGCGGAAGTCTACCCTAGAAAGTCAAGTGTTTCATACTCCAGTATCATCTTCCAGTAATGCCATATGTATATTGTTCTATCTCTTTTGGGCAAGCCACCAGAGAAAGTAAAATTGCAAAAGACTTTAGCATAATGTACTTTTACTTGGTAATAAAGTAAAAATAGGACATCTGCCCTTTTATCTCAAAGAGGTATTCACAACTGTAACCCATTTATGTCTAGCTTCATTCTTAAGTGCTATGGAGTCTGCGCGGTTCACTAGGGAGAGCCATCATGGGACTATTGTTGACCTTTTCATAGTTTGACACTCGACTCCACAGGTACATGAAGTATCGTCATTTCTTATTTTAACTTCCACATTTATCCATTTATTTCGAAGGTTTAAGTAATAGTAGTTTACCCAATGATCACGTATAGATAGTGTTAACGACACGAGTAGAAAATTTAAGGTACGAACCTTGGCGAGTGTCTTTAAAACTTCTACGAGTATCTTAAAGGCTAATTACGCGAGTTGCGTACACTACTTTACCTACGACAGTTCTTTAATTACTAAAAATTACTACCCATAACTTCTAAGAGATTTTTATACAATCTATGGAGTTTTAAAGAAGGTTGAAAACATTAAAAGGATAACATTTTCTAATGGAAATTTCAAAAAAAAATCTTCTAGTCTAAATCAAATTGGGAGTATCTTTAGTAGTTTACGCAACAATGGTGTAGAAATAGTCTCTACGACACAAGTAGAAATTTATATTAAGCTATGTGTACGAGAATCTTTGTAATTCTAAAAATTGAATCAAAAAAACCAATTTAAAAAAAACTGTCGTAGGTAAATAAGTGTTAAATTCTTAACCTTTTTACAGTTTGCCATTCAATAGTATTGAACATCTGACAGGATAAAGTCATGTATTGATACAGCTACAACTGTTATCCCGCAGTATCATGACATCAATACATAACGGCTTTGCCTAGCTCAACAGAATACTAATCAGCTGTGAGTTGTGATACTCTCAAACTTTACAGTAAACAAAGCTATTAAATAGGTCCGTATCTACACCTAGCTATCAGTTTGTTATCTCAAATTTAAATAGATAATCAGCTGTGATACTTCCAAACTTTACAGTAAAAAAAAGCTATTAAATAGGTCCGTATCTACACCTAGCTATCTGTTTGTTATCTCAAATTTAAATAGATAATCAGCTGTGATACTCTCAAACTTTACAGTAAAAAAAGCTATTAAATAGGTCCGTTTCTACACCTAGCTATCTGTTTCGTATTTTAATTTAAATAGATAATCAGCTGTATACTCTCAAACTTTACAGTAAACAAAGCTATTAAACAGGTCCGTATCTACACCTAGCTATCGGTTTGTTATCTTAATTTAAATAGATAACCAGCTGTAATACTCTCAACTGGGAGTCTCTTAGTGGCTACGTTCTTATCTGCATAGGAAGTATTTGACCTTACCTCATCTGCCTTGATCTTCAAGAGAACTGCTCCATCATGGTCGGCAACCACAGAACTCACCACCTTTACCTCGTAGTCCCAGGAGTCTATGTTAGTGGCTGTTGCATCCAAACAAGCCAGTCCACGGGTTGGAAGTCTCGAAGTTACATAGAGGCCGTAGCTTCGCAATAAGTTGACAAAAGTAGCTTCCTCCCTAGATTGGCGCTCTAGGTGAACATTAAAGTCCCCACAGATAACAAGTTTCCTCGGACAGAGTCTGCTGAGATAGTCGAGGCAGAGTTCAAGCTGGTAGATAAAAGATTCAAAAGCTCCGTCAGGAGACCTATATACACATATTAGGATGGTGGAAATATCCACAATCTCAATAGCCGTCAGTTCGAGAACTAGCTCAACACAAAATCTGGTCAGATCGATATTTTTATAAGTGAAAGCAGCAGTCGCAAAAATTGCCACTCCCCCATTTTTGTGTTCTGTACGGCAGTAGGCACTTACTAATTGAAGTTTATCAAGGCAATTGTAGAAGTCACATTCAACTCTATCTAACCAATGTTCAGTTATGCACAAAAAATCGCAATCCACTTCATTGACAAATAAGGAAACTAGGGCAGACTTAGTCCTAAGACACTGGACATTCAGATTTGCAATGGTCACAGAAAGTTGGTGTAGGTTAGAGTCAATATTGTCTGTGTGTGGACCTAGGCTTACACTAGAATTTTCATTAGGCCTAGGTTGCTTAATGTCTAAGCCTAAACCTCTCTGGCTTAGACTTATGTTGTCACAGTTCGGTGAAATGTTCGTCCTAAAAAAGGATGATTCCTAGTTACTCGTTCCCCCCTAGGCTCCCGACTCGATGGCAGAAATGCTCTCACCAACACTCCCCTAGGCCAAAAGCTAGGGTCCAATATCTCACCAGCTACATCTACAGGAACTCCCACTTTGAACGAGCAATAGGAGTTGTGGCGAGTTTTTAATTGGATGCATTCACTGTCTGAAACACTTTTAGAAGCCAAGAAGTTCAATACTGAGTCACATGACACATCTGGTGAAACTCTTGAAACAAAGAAAAATGATTTCTGACGCACAGACTTGAGGTTATCAGCAGCGCCACTCGTCCCTATTATTACAGAGTTTAGCTTCTGCTTGTTTCCGTGGTTGAGGTTCTGCGTAGGCCTAGTTCTTTCAGAATCAGTTGGTCTTGATTTAAGATGATTTTTCACCACATTAGAATAGGAGACTCGAGAATTGGTCGATACTGATTTATTACCATTATTGATATTCCTCATTCCACTGTTTTCGTACATCTCGATTTCATGACGATGACTTGCAGTTTCAGTTTCAATTCCTGGTAAAGGTTCATTTCCATTTCCACTTTTTATCTGTCCAACATCGGTTTCAACTACAACTTCAGCTTCACTCCGTTCCGAAAACATGAGTCCGTTTCGGTTCCTTTTTTTCCTTCAGTTCCCGTCCAGAGTCTATTTGTAGATTCACTGGTACTTGAATTTCATCTTCGTTTGCATCCACCAATGGCAAATTTGTAGCTGTCATGTTGTCGATGTCTGCTGGTGACGTCATCGTAACTTCTATTCTCTGACTTGAATCTAACATGTCTGTTTCCTGCATAGAACTAACCTCAACTTTGTGTAAATCCATAATTTGATTTAGTCCAACCTTAGTCTTAATGCTATTCGTTATAAGAATATTAATTTTCTTCTCAAGGTTTAGTCCTATTTTATGGAAAGCTGCTACCTTACTTTTCATGTCGTTAAGTTCACCAATCAAGTTTGTCAGCGGAGGTTCGTCATGCACAATGTGGTCCTTGATCCTTTTAGTGCAGGGACTGCAAAACCACTTAACATGCTCTTCAATCTTCCTGATATCGTTAAATATTTTCGCAGATATATTCACACATCTAGCGTGGTGCCACGAAACGCAATAACCATCGCAGAGAAGGGTTTTTAAACACAATTTAGAACACACCGGGCACTTGCTCTCAACTTCGCCTTTCGCCATTACCACAGCCTTCTCCTAGGTTGAAAAAATAGAAGGTTGAGGTGGCTGGGCCACATTCAACGCAGAGGTGAGAGGGAGATGATAAAACAAGTGATAAGAGGTACGTCGGAGGGAATGAGACCATTGGGAAGGCCAAGGATGAGATGGATTGACGAGGTTACAAAGGACCTAAGGAGTATGGGAGCAGACCTGGAGCTGGCAGAGGACAGAGGATCCTGGAGGCACATGGTTGGCGAGGCCAAAGACCACCTTGGTTTTCAATGGTCACAGGAGTAAGTAAGTATGAGTAAGTAAGTAATAAATTAACTATATATAATTAAAAATTCGTAGTTTTACACGTTATACATACAAGCTTATAGATCCACGTAATGTAAATTCTACGGGTACTTAAAGTTAATCGAGGTCTGAAAAGTTCATAACACACGAAATATCTTTAATGTTATGAATAATGTACGGTAAATAATTAAAAAATGTTATCCAGTGTGGCACAGAAATAACCTATGGATTGCACTATTGCAATACATTCTGTCAAATGTTCTAAAACGTACGAGAGTTATATTTTGCTGTTAGGTGTCAGGTTTTACCATAAATATCGAAATGGAAAAAACTGTCGACTGTGGTTTCGCTATTGACCCGCGCACAGTTCAAAGAGAATTCAAGAATCAGATTTCGGTTTGGAACATTTCACATCGAAATATATCTAGGATTCATGATCTGAACAATAAACTATCAACATATGGTCCATGTACAGCTATCAAAAAGGACTCAAAAAGATCATTTTTATCATTGCTTCTTGATTATATGGTTATAATATTAGGGGTAAATGTTGACGACCAAACCCCCCCCCCCTTCCTTAAAACCAGATATCAGACGTTTGTAAACTTAATAAACAATACAAGTGTAAAGGGGGTTTTTATTAGCCGTTCAATTATATTTTAATGTAAAATTTAAATAATAATGCAAACCATTTTAATCTTCGGGTTGCTGGATTTAATCATTGACTATACACAGTAAGTCTATGGGTCACTCGATGAAACATATTGTGACAGCAATTTCAATTTTACATATTTTAAGTTGGTGGGACATTGGTATGAGCCTGAGAGGCCTTTGAGTGCAGCACATCTAGCAAATCAAAGTTTTTTCAAACTATTGGTTTTAAATATAGTCAACTTACAGAGTTGGTTTTGGTAGTACAACAACAGTACTAATTACAATTCTATGTGTTATTTTTACGCATTTCTCTCCACTTTCAAATACTATCTGCCTACTTCTACCTAACTACAAGGAACTTGTTCATATTTCAGGCACATTCCCAGGTTGTCTTCAGGGTTCTCCGCTCTCAGTCCTGGACCAAACTGTATCTTGATATTGAAGGGTTTTATGCTACCTGGAAAATTAAAAGAAAATTTACAAGTCCATCATAGTGTAACATAATTTTTAATTAGTCATAAGTTATTAGGTATACTTCCGTATCTGTTGGCACAAACGACCGAATGAAAATATCGATTATTCGATTGTTTCATTTGATATATCATTTGGTTAGTTAGGTTAAGTTAACCTTACCTAACTAACTAAACGATACATCGATATATCGATCTATATTTTTATTCGGTTGTTTGTGCCAACAGATACGGAAGTCTACCCTAGTTATTTGCTATTATATTTTAAGATGTGAAAGGAAAAATAGGGTCTTTGTCTCCGGGGTCGACCAGCTTGATTTTCGTACACTTATTAAATATGTGGTTAATTCTCCTAAAATGAAGTTTTATTTATCAGTTGCAGCAGGAAAGATTTTTCAAATGTATGCCAGATCTTACAACAGTGAGCTTCCTAGTTTAATCTCAGTGCAATAGCTTGGCAGGTTTTTCGTCATGAACGCGTCACTTTATGGGCAAAATTACTGACCAAGGGTGCAACGAACCATGTTTAAAGCGAACAGATTTCAACTAATATGGATGGTTGCAACACATTTTAAATTAGTACTAAATTTTCACCATACCCCGAAGATCAAATCTACTTCAACCACAGAATATTTTAGGATATACAGCAATAAGAAATAATTATTTGTGTAACTAGTGTAAGATGTTGCGGAGCAGAATACTTTGCGCTCGCGTTACACATTACTGTAAATTATTCCTACAGTTACCTGACAAAGTGGGCATCATTGCACTGATTATACCACGCAAAGAAGCTAATTGCTGCATTTACTTACTTTTCCCACACTCATTTTACTTTACCACATTCCAGTATTCCAATCAAACAACACAAAACAATGTGCTTTTATTAGGCACGTAATACGTGTACGCTTGAAAATAAGTTGGCAACACTTAAAGATACTACAACTACGATCAGCTGGTGCAGCGTTTCCAATTTCGTTCAATGCTTGGATTTAACCAAACCTAAAAACGTGTTGTATAGTGATTGAAAGACTAATGTATGATTTTTAGTAACTGTAGGAAAAATATTATGTGTAACGCGAGTGCAAAGTTCCCCACTAGTTAGGCCTACACAAATAAATATTTTATACAGTTACTATAAATCATATAAATTATTAGTCGTTCAAACACCAAGCAACAAAGTGTTGGTTAGGTGAAATCCAATCGTTGAACGAAATGGGAAACAGTGCCCAGCTGATCGTAGTCTTTAGGTGATCTTTAGGTGTTGCCAACATATTTTCAAGCGTACATGGATTACCTGCCTAGTAAAAACATACGTTTTTGGTTGTTTGGTAATACATGAATGCAGCAATAAAATTTGTGCGGCAAAACTAAGTAAATGCAGCAATTAGCTACTTTGCGTGTTATAATCAGGACAAGCAACCCCGCTTTGTTTTGTAACTGTAGGAATAATATATTTAAAAATATTTTGTCAAGATATTTTACATTTTGATTTCTTGTTATTTTATGTTTGTTTAGTTGGGTGTCTACAGATTACTGTACATTGCTACATTGCTACATTGCTACATTGCTACATTGCTACATTGCTACATTGCTACATTGCTCTACTCACTCTCTATCCTACACGGCGAGACCCCGGGCGTACACAGGGTGTCCCCGCAGTGAAGCAGGTCACATATCCCAGGACCTCCTTGGGGCTAAAACAACAACACTTGATTGGCATCTTTCATTAGACAATTTCAGACATTGTAATGCTATTGTTATCCGTAGGGGGCCGCAGACGCCAGGTTTTGCTTTTGTACTCGATTAAGTCAGCAATAAGACTTTTGTATTTAAAAATGTGTTGATGTTCTTTCATAAAGATATATCAGCAAGTCCATTTATTCTATTACATAGATTGTCCTGTAAGGAGGCAAAAATAATTTAGGAAGAAGTTTTGTAAGTTAAAATACAACAAAAATCTAGAATATTTAATTTAAACACCTTGTTAGTGAGATGTCCATAAGTTTTTTATCGAAATATTTATGTTGTGTTTTCATTTCAATTGACTCGTAAACATATTTCCAAATTGATTGCACCTACTTTCGGGAAACCATGAATGTCACGAAAATAACTCTGGAGTTAATACAAGAATATCACCAACAAACAAGACGATATGAGGCAAGATAAGAAGATTTGATAGGAGAAATGCAGAAAAGAGAGAATGCATGTTTTTGGTTGTGATTGGTTTTCCCCTTTATAGTATTACTAGCTGCTGTACCCGTGCTTTGCAACGGGAATAGGACACAAAATAGAAACATTTTGATCTTTACATTCGTTGTATAAAAAAGTTGCACATCCACCAACGCTTTTAGAAATAAAATTCGGCTGCACTTTAGTATCTATTGACATAAATTGGAAAAAAATATTCTATAATGAAGTTTTATATTAAAATTAATAGTACTGCACCCTGTTGGTAAACCTTATAAATTGTTACTGCCATTTAATATCATAGAACCAACTTGTGTATTTGAAACAGCTGACGAAATGGTTTTATTCCTGTTAAATATGATTACACATAAGGTTAACATGGGAAACTCCAGAGCCACTGGGGCGGAGCCTGAAAGGACTTTTGATATAAGAATGCGTCTATATGTTAATCGGGAATGTGAGCTATCATCACACCAAACTTCAGCCCAATCCGACCAGTGTTTTTCGCGTTTACTTGTCACAAACATACATACATCCATACATCCAAACCTTCTCATTTATAATATTAGTAGGATATGTATTATATATAGGTGCAACAACTTATAGTGCTAGTCGGTGGTCATAGAATTTTGTGGAATATGACCGATAAGCAGTATAAAAATACTGGCAAGAAGAACTTGGTGCCAACCATAAAGTCAATTTCGTCTTCGATCTCTTCTTTTTTTCTTCTTCTTATAACATCAACAACGCTATTTTTTTATACCCAGAGGACGAGAGTTCATGTTCACTCAAGCCTAGTCCGAGTCGGCCGACTGTCTGCAGACAGTATGTCAACACAGTTTCGGATACAAGTTTCCGATGTATTGTGCGTCCACACTAGCCAGCCAGTGTTTCCATGTTTGCTGGTATGGTGACCGAGGTGGACGTATTTATATCCTGTGCGGGCTTCATTTTTCTGAACCATGGGCCTAATGAATCTAGAAAAAGACAATGATGAACCCAACATTTTCTCGAGCATGGTTCGTACTATGGTCACAATCTTCTATCAGACCTTCAGATTAGGTGGAGGATTTAGGAACTTCACGAGGTTGACTATCACCTCTAAAGATTATTTCTAAAGATTTTGGAATTTTGCTGGGCTTTGTTGGTCCTAAGATTTCAAAGTTGAAGAGATGAACAATTGAATAAAATGTCATCTAATAATATAAATAATTGAAAACCAATTCCAAAACTTTCAAGAAACTCAGTCCAGCTCTTCTATTACCGCCCAAAAATCATAATATTACCACTTTGCAGTCTAATTACTTGTTAGATATAACATACAGTCTAACTACTTGTTAGTAAACAACTACTACCTTTGCAGCGCACTGCTGAGAGCTAGGAAAACACAACCTATGCGGAGAGAGGTCCTTAGAACGCGGAGCTAAGACCCACCTCAACTTACCGTCAGAAAGTCTTCGCTGTCACAAGGCATGATGACCCTGTCGTTACAACCTTGAGCTGCTGCTGCCATGGAGTCACTCAGGGGGAGAGGACCGGCCCCGGACCCAACAGGATCTACAACCAAACCTATTTTAGAGTTGTTTCACTTTTAGCTTGAGTATATCTTTCAATTATGATTTTTCTAGTTTGGAAGGCACATGTTTGAAGGGATTTTAGAAATTTCCAATAAATTTACTATAGAGTTACTGTAATAACAATTTCAGCACTGTACATTTATAAACGTAATGTACACAAGCCAGCTAAATCTTCCTAGTAATCAAGATTTCGACAATCACCGTACTAGAGCAGCTAGAGACTACAGACACATCAAATAACATCCTTTCACCACACCACAAAATTCCGTAAGATACCATTATATTGACTGCGAAATTCTAAATTCTCTCTTACAGCCTGTGAAAAACCTATCAGATAAAACTGAAAAAGAAACTTTGGTACTGGCTCGTAAATCAATCAGTGTACTCAATAAAGAAAACCAAATAAATATTGTAGAGTAAGAACAACTTTCTATTCTATGTATATTGACGCTAATGTATTTTTATATGTTTTTTGACGCTAAATTAACTAATAAGAGTGTTAAAATAAATTAAAACTAATAAAAGCTAAAAAGAGAATATTACGGAGAAACCCCTTATTGTATTATGTACAGGATACCCCAGGAAGAGGTTAAAATATTTAATTTAATATTTCTTGTCCATTTATAGACCGAAAATTTACACAATTCATAAAGTGGGTTTTAGAATTATACCTGGAAATGTTCAGCTCCCTAATCCTTCTAGAAACAAAATGGTGGCATATTGAAAATGTATTATTAACTAACTATATTAAATTAATTAATTAAATTATTTATTATTATTTACTAACTGGTGGTGTATCACAGTTTGAATCATTTTGTACTCTACATTTAGGGTTTTCATAATGTTATGTTCTAATTTCCTGATAAAAAAACGTTATTTCCCTAGAATGTGATTATACAAATATTTTACAAAACCAAGAAACATTTTTTTTTCCAATAATTTACCATATTGTTTCTACAAGGGTTAGGGAGCTGAAACTTTCCCAAAATATTTGTAAAACCAACTTTATAACTTGTGTAAAGTTTCAAAATGTTAGGTGCACAAATGGGAAAGTAATAATATGAAATCAAACGTTAAAACCCCTCCGTGGAACACCCTGTATATATAAATAGAATATAGATACAGTAGATGTATGGATCAAAGAACAACTAAAGGATAAAGTCGTCAAAATATTAACCAAATTTAAATGTATGATTTCTGACTAAGTTATCAAAAACTGGTTCTTATTTCGTGTCTAGAACTAATCTTATTTTGTTTTGTAGTTATGAGAATTTTTGTTTGGTTTACTCCTAACTTAAATCTATCTATAAAAAAAAAAAAACAGTTGTTACTGAAACTCACTTACGAATAAAGACCTTATTTATTTATTTATTTTTATTTTATCTGTTAATCATTTATGACTAACAATTTTAGCGAATTTCCCATTTAGGGAATAAACTATTTCCGTAGGTCTCATGGTAAAACTTGGACCCGGGACCGATTTATCTCCCTTGTAGGCAGCAAACCTAGGTACACGTTAAACCTAATGTTATTTGAATAGATTTAATTGAAAATCAAATCAGGCAAATGGAAATTCGCTTAGTCTGCAGGTTTGCTGCGGCGGGGGTATTTACCTTTCCATATATTTAAGTTTCCCCTCTTATAATCACATGTTTTATATTGAAGAGCATGCAATCATTTGGCAGTGGTTGTATTAACTGTTGCCACTAATTTATTTCAATGTTTACCTGCGAAGATCGCCGGGCTCATGCCACCAGTTCCAATGTCATTGCTCAATATGGAGGGTCCAATTTTAAAGGAGTTGTCATCGCAAGGTTCGTATACAATGGAACAAACATCTAGAATCAGAAAAACATATGTTAAACAGATAAGTAACTAAACAAAATTGCATTTCCAAACATGCCCTCTAGTGTAAAAAAGGTGAACATCTTATATATTAATAGGCAAGCATGTTTCTTTAAACCCTTTTTTCTCAGCTCGTGTGCATCATAGGGACAATCTACGCATACTCTTAGATAGATATTTTCCTGTAGATGTGCAGAATCCCTTTGTAAATTAAAATAGGCTAAAAATAAGCACAACAAATCAATTAAAAAATTTCACAAAAACAAACATGGGCCTTATGGGTTGCCATGATGGTGACGAAATAACAAAGTAATATAAACATAAAATCAAAACAAATTCAAGGGATTCCAATCACATGTTTTATTTACACGACAGAATGAAAATATAGAAGCCTGTACATTACATACAGGGTGAGTTTCTACTGAGCGTGTTAACTTCACCAGTAGGTTCTACTCACCAAAAGGAACAAAAAAGGTCTCGTAAACCTATGTCCGATTTTCAACCGTTTGGCTGTAATAGGGGATTTTGTGTTTTTCTTATTTTATTAGACTTTGCTCCACAATTTATGTAATAAAAACTTAACCAATTACTTTAGAGAGTTATAGTTGAAATCATTGGAAAGAATATTAAATTTTCTATAAACCAAAGGTTTTATTCAACAACTATACCATTACATTGTCCACGTTATGTCCAAAATAAAGTAAAAATTGCATTAAATTAATTAACTACGATAATTTTCATGAGCCCACTTTGATACATAAACCTGCATCTATCCAATGTTTGAATGCATAAAAAACTTGGCCTTTTAATAATCTTTCAAATTATATGCTGTTCAAAACTATTATTGATATAAACCAGTGAGGAATTACTAATAAACTACAATAAAACACGGTTTACAGATTTTGTTTTTGCATAGTGTTTACTGTTAATAATAATTACTGTATTCTCCATGTTGTATTATATTGAAAAATTTGATAAAATTTGTACATTATTTTAACTTTTAAATATTTATTAAAATTAACTGAATTAATAAATTGTATAAACTCAAGCTTTTTCGCATTTTCAAAGATGTAGTTTGTTTGATTCTTAAATGCCATATAATTAGTTTTACCTTGTGCTTGATTCTTTTATTGATTTGTCATCGACAGCTTGATAACTCAGCTGTTTGAACATACATTGTTGAGTAATTTGCTGTTTTAACTTTGTATTTCCAAGCCAATTAAGAGTTTTTCAACATTTATTAAACTATGGAGCCTTTTACCAATCAAGAGTATGCCAACATGATAAATACAGTAATTATTATTAACAGTAAAAACTGTGCAAAAACAAAATCTGTAAACCGTGTTTTCTTGTAGTTTATTAGTAATTTCTCACTGGTTTATATCAATAATAGTATTGAACAGCATATAATTTGAAAGATTATTAAATGGCCAAGTTGTTTATGCATTCAAACATTGCATAGATGCAGGTTTATGTATCAAAGTGGGCTCATGAAAATTATCGTAGTTAATTAATTTAATGCAATTTTTACTTTATTTTGGACATAACGTGGACAATGTAATGGTATAATTGTTGAATGAAACCTTTGATTTATAGCAAATTTAATATTCTTTCCAATGATTTCAACTATAACTCTCTAAAGTAATTGGTTAAGTTTTTATTAAATAAATTGTGGAGCAAAGTCTAATAAAATAAGAAAAACACAAAATCCCCTATTACAGCCAAACGGTTGAAAATCGGACGTGGGTTTATAGGAACTTTTTTGTTCCTTTTAGTGAGTAGAACCTACTGGTGAAGTTAACACGGTCAGTAGAAACTCACCCGTATATTTGGTCGAGTTTTCGACTCCTGGACGATCTCTAGTTTATATTATATTAAAATTATTTCATTGACAATTAAAACCATTTCATTATTGTGGAATACTGGTATTACAACATTCAAGACGTAATCTATATATTAATAGGCAAGCATGTTTCTTTAAAACCTTTTTTCTCATCTCGTGTACATTGCTAGGAAAATCTAAGCATACTGTTAGAAAGATATTTTCCTGTAGATGTGCAGAATTACTTTATAAATTAAAATATGATCAAAAATAAGCAAAAAATGAATTTAAAATTTAAAAAAATTAACATGGGCCATTTGGGTTGCAATGCTGGTGATGAAATAACAACAAAAGATAAACGGAAAATCAAAACAAGTGGACGAAAATCCAATCGCAGTTTTTATTTACAGTGTGGGGTGAAAATAGAGAAGTCTGTACCGGTACGTAACATATTTTTGGACGAGTCACTGGATCGACCTCTAGTCTTCTGTTATATTAATAGGCAAGCATGTTTCTTTGACATTTTTTTCTCAGCTCGTGTGCATCGCTGGGAAAATCTAAACACACTGTTAGAAAGATATTTTCCTGTAGATGTGCAGATTCCCTTTATCAATTAAAATAGGCTCGAAAATAAGCACACAAAATTAATTTGAAATTTTAAACCATTAACATGGACCTTATGAGTTGTGCTGGCGACGAAATAACAACAAAATATAAACAGAAAATCAAAACAAATGGACAAAATTACAATCACATGTTACAGCGTGGGGTGAAAATAAAGAAGCCTGTACATTACATATTTTTGGTCGAGTTTTCAATCACTGGGCGTACTCTAGTTTAAAATAAATTTCTTAATAATATAAACAGTATTAACTCACTTTCTTCTGATCGCACGCAGATATTGTAGTCTTGGTTAGCAAGATGGCGTCCATTGATTGCATAGTTCATTGTTTGTATGATTCCTGAAAAAATATTACATTATCTTTAAACCGTAAGATGAATCAACACTACATGACATAACTTTACCTGGATTACCAGGATTTTCTAGTTTTGTATTTCAGGTCAAAATTGCAGTTTTGCCTTCGCCACGGCATAAATGAAACATAATTTTGCATTAGAATAGTTAGGGCAGTGTTGTATTTTTTCACAGAATAAAAAATATTAAAACAAAACTATCAAAGGCTTAACAATATTGTTGTACGTTGTTCATACAGAATAGCTTAGCAAAAGTATTTTGAACGTGACTTAATAGTTCAAGAATTATTTTTCTTCCACATGTATCTTTCATGCCTCATCAAGAATATTACGTAATACAAGGCTTAACCAGATACTAAACTTAAGATACCAAACTTAAGCAGATTCTCTTCCTTCTTTCCATAAAAATGTTTTCCCTTGTTCTTGAAGTAAAAAAAATCGTATATCCTTGGTTGGTGCGTCCCATCTAACCGGCGTTGTTTTTTTTTTTTGCTAGCTGACTTTTTGGTATATTCATTTTGATTATGAACTTTAATTATTTAAGAGTATTTAGACTATAGGTTTGGTATAAGAGAAACATGTTTTAAAGGTTTGGTATTTCATAAGGCTTGGTACAATTTTATATTGAAAAATTAACGCCATTGATATATTTTTTACAAAAATAATAGTAATAAAGATGTGTTGAACTAGGCTACTAATGAAGAATATTTCATTCCAATTTTTATTACAGAAAATAACTATTTCAAAAATAGTAAAACCATTTCTAAAATAATAAAACTGGAACTAAATGACGCCACATACCTGATTTTCCTTGGTAGAACTGAGAACACCCTGCAGGAACTCTGTTTCCAAATTCAATTTGAGAAATCTGTAAAATAAGTTTTAATTTGAATATCGAAAATGATAATTATAGTTTGCTAAAAGACCTATGTTTAATGATAAAACACCTTACACGGAAGATTGAGAAAAAGTAAAAAACTGTAGTAATGTAGTAATAATCGCATATTTTTTCAGAGTCGTTAGCATTTACAGATACATAGACTCATATGTTTATTAGATGGAAATTATTCGCTAATTAAATTATTCTAATTACTTGCCCTAACTTCCCAGAGGCGAAACAGGTTTGCTGCAGTTAGGTTCATCACGAGTTCTACAGTGTCTGAGTTGTTGTCCACTTCGTAATACACTGAAACACGGGGAAATAAACTTGCTAGTTCCATAAGCATAAGTCACTTTAATTATTGACTAGGTACCATATTGCCTACGAAGATTCTGCACGTAAGGTTTTCTTAATGTGCAATTCGAGCAAACTACTTTCTAAAAGGATCCTCCTAGCAATAAAACAGCAAAAGATCTTAAAAGGATAAAATTAATTTAAAAAGGATTTAAAAAAATCATTTTATTTTCTTTTTGTCTTTGTTTTTGTTAAACAGTAATATCCGGAAATTTACTTCAATAAGGAAAATCATTCACGAACGAAATACTCGTAGCATTTAAGTAATATAAAGTTGTTTCTTAGTCTAATACCAGTTTGGTATTTCTGATAAATAATATAAAGAGACCAAAAACAGAATATAAACATGATTTCTTGTGATTACTAGGACCTCCCTTTTATAGGCAACATTATTCCTTTTGGTCTCAAAATTTGTTGTGTTAAAAAAATGATAAATGTTTGGTGATGGTGTAATAACTCAATTTTAACTTAAGTATTTGTTAAAGCTTAAAGTTATCTTCCGTTTTGGTATTACAATACATGTATGACCAGGCAGTTGTATTGTGTCTTTTTAATTCTACATTATATACATGTATTCTTGTGAAGTTAAAGATTTTTTTTATTCATAGAACATAAATATAGCAATTCACTGATGACTTAACTTAAAAAGGATTTTTAAAAAAATCATTTTATTTTCTTTTTATCTTGTTATTTATGCCAGGAAAGTTTGAACACCTAGTCCTGTTAATCTAATGTCCAAATTTTGACTGCACTATAACCTCTTGGCTACACACACAATTTCGATATGATTAAGACATAAAATTGTGATATAAGTCATAAATTGACGTTCCCAAAAGTTACAATCTATTTCCATAACTACTACCGTTTACACTCATTCTTCGCTCATATTTGTCACCTAGGTGGCGTCCCCATGACATAATGATAATAATGAACATTATTTATATTAAAAGTATAAATTTCGATAAAAATCATAAGGCTTTGGTTACCCTGTTATTTATTTTACAGTAAACCGTAATGCTTTTAGACATATGAACACAATTAATCAGTTTACTATCTATGGGGAGAACCTATGAATAAGAAGCAGCCTATGTTAGTTTTACAATACACACTACGATATAAAAGGCTCGTACCTTAAATTACTCGTTTCGTTAACACTATTTACGCGGGTTGCGTAACACTACTCTACCCTGTGACAGTGTTTTAATTACTAACAATCACTACTCATAACTTCTATGAGAGGTTATGTTTTCGTTTATAACCTCTCATTGCCACTGACAGTGTTGCAACGAAGCATTGTGCCAAACACTAATTGCACTCAACAATTAAATTGGCTTGAACAGCTGATTAGTTGAAGTTCAAATCGAAAAGTATATAAAGTATAAAGTATTACAATTTGATTGGTCCGTTACTTGTGGTGTTATGAGTAAAACTATGCTGTTATGAAAGTAAAAAGTGCTTTTATGTGAAACTTTTCAATTCCAAGAACTGAATTGAATCGCAAACGGATACTTTTAAAAACGGTCGTAGGTAAAATAACTAAACCTCTGACAACTTTTGCAGCTTTCGATTTCTGATTTCAGTGATTTAACTTTTTAACTAAGTAACATTAGAACTAAGTATGAAAGCCTAAAACAAACCAAAACATCTTATGGTATAAAAGTTATCGTATCGATGTCCAATAGAAAACGGAATTTTAATAGTAGAACACGCTTGTGAAAGGCTATTTCAACTGTCAATTTGAACACTAATATTGCTACAACTAGTCCATGTAAATGGGATGTCTAGTATCCAAAGATCGTATGATGTACATCACAATAGCAGCATAACTACCTTATAATCACATTTTACCTCGATATAGGATCGGGATATTGTTTCCGATTCTAGGTTGAATCCAGAAATAGATGCGTTTTACTATTGGACCAGCAATTAATTATGCTACAGTATAGAGTCTCGAATGTCGAAATAATAAAATAATTATGTCAACAATTTTTACATGTTAATGGTTTTCATTAGCATTAATTTCCTGACTATTCGACGTTGCCACGACGGTTTTTGATCATAATCAAAACTCTACAGTACTTGTACCTAACAAAAGTATGGAGTTGGATGGTAACAAGGCTAGGGTTTGGGGGTACAGTTACGCAGAAAACCTGTAATACAGGGTGTCCCGGAACTCTCTACCAATATTTTAGGGCATTGTTCCTGGGTAAGAAACATATCTAAATATCATATTTAAATTGTCCGGAAGTCCTTAATTACTCAGATAGCCACCATTTTGTTTTTTCACTTATTAATTTTTTTCTGAAAATTGGTTAAACATACGAAGTTGAAACTTTGCACAAACATTTATGACAACTAGACAAAGCCACAAAAAAATTATGACGATTTTTCAAATTCATAAAACAAAATGGCGGCTGTTTAAAATGTTGTTTCTTAAATTACTGAAAAACCGTTGATTTTACAAAAATTTTACAAGAATAACTTTTTTAAGGCAATTTTATTACAAATCGATCGACACCTTAATCTTTAAGATCGGACGAGTATTAACTGAGATATGGCAGTTTTAGTGATACGTGACCGCTTTCAGCATGCGCTGCAACTAATATCCGGCGGTCACTTATCACTAAAACTACCATATCTCAGTTAATACTCGTCCGATCTTAAAGATTAAGGTGTTGATCGATTTGTAATACAATTGCCTTAAAAAGTTATTCTTGTAAAATTTTTGTAAAATCAACGGTTTTCGAGTAATTTAAAAAACAAAATTTTAAACAGCCGCCATTTTGTTTTATGAATTTGAAAAATCGTCATAATTTTTTTGTAGCTTTGTCTAGTTGTCATAAATGTTTGTGCAAAGTTTCAACTTCGTATGTTTAACCAATTTTCAGAAAAAAATTAATAAGTGAAAAAAAACAAAATGGCGGCTATCTGAGTAACTAAGGACTTCCGGACAATTTAAATATGATATTTAAATATGTTTCTTACCCAGGAACAATGCCCTAAAATATTGGTAGAGAGTTCCGGGACACCCTGTATATTATCGGTTTAGATATCGATATACAGGGTGATCAACTCAAGGAGGCCACCTTTGGGATATCGGAAACGGTAAGAATTAGAGAAAAATTTAAATGGGGAACATTCCTTTATTTTTTGTGGCAGTTAAAATATGATTTTAGTTTTTCAAAATTCAGCCGCCATTTTCCAAAATGGCGGCCAACTTTGAAATTTCTTATGAAACACCCTGTATTTTTTCATGTTTTCGGATAGAACATGCAATTTAAAAACTTTTTTATTCTTGACATTTTTTCGATAAACCCACTCGTTTAGGAGTTACAGCCTATGGAAAAATGACTTCTGGTATACATTTTACATCATTTAGCTCCAAAAAAGTAGGTTTATAGCGAAAATGCGAAGAGTAAATAAGTCAAATATGTCTTAAAATTGCATCCACATTCCAAAAAGTCCATAAAATTCGTTAAAAATATTAATTAAATTTTTTTTTTAATGGCGGCCATTTTCCAAAATGGCGGCAAACTTGAAAAGTGGAAAACTGTGTATTTTATGTTCTTAATGGAATGTGGATGCAATTTTAAGACTTATTTGACTTATTTACTCTTTACTTATTTACTTTATTATTTACTCTCTTGACTTATTTTTTTTTTTTAGGCATATTGGGTATCAATTTTAAGCTCTTATGCTCCAGATGTGCCTTTTGCGGGTTTGGATTATACCCTGTGAAATCCCTTCATCCTATAGGCTTTTAAAATTTCATAGTTTTTGCTGAATTCTGTTGTCAATCATCTGAACTTTTTCAAGTTTACACTTTTTTTATCAAAACAGGTGGCCATAATAAAATTTGGTATGGATCCATACGAAAATAAGGTTATCTGTAGTAGTTGGTGATGTTTCAGTAAATTCAAGTAAAATTATGTAATATTTTTTATATAAAATGTAAAGAAGAAAATTACTTAAGTTATAGATATTGTGTTGTTGGAGGATTTTGTGTTTTCTTGGTATGTTCAGGGAATTCGAGTAAAATATTGTTATGTTATTTGTCTAAAATGTAAAGAAGAAAATTACTTACGTTATATATATTGTGTTTTTATTGAATTTAATTAGTATTCATTAGTATTTGTAATTTTAATTTCCTAAGATGCCTCGAAGCACAGAAAACATACTATTGTGTTCACCTTTATATCAACTACTGTATATGTCAAGTACAACAATCGGGATTCTTATTTTGAAGCAAGTGGTGCTGGTTGGTAGTTATATTTTAAAACTAAATGAGATGCAATATTAATACAAAACAAATTAAAATTGATAAATATTGATATTTAAGCCGAAAATATTCGCAGGTCCTCTATGGAACTCTACTCGTGTTTGCACTGTTTCCTAGTAAAACTAATAGCAAATTGGAGGATTGTGTTAAAACGCAAAAATCCAAAGTCCTCCAATCAACTATAGCAACTAGCCATTAATTTGTACTGTAGCATAAATATAATTTGTCTTGACCAAAACCACTAGTAGCTGTCCAAACAAAATGATATATTGATTTCCACCCAATGTAGTAACTAGGGAAAACAAATAATTGTGGTTACTGCTTTTAATGACAGGCTTTCTCATCAACAAAGGCATACAAGTTTAAACAAACAATTAAACTGAAACCTTTAGTTCCACAGGTTATCGGTGGCTTCATTGCATGTTTCCATTTACAGTATACAACTGTATACTGCAATGAACACAGACAATTGGTAGAGTTTATTTGGGTTAGGAGTCTAATTACTCAGGTTTATGCTAGTGCGGATACTTTGTGGTTTAAAAATCAGTGGGTTCATAATTATCATGTAATCAGCGTTTATAAACTATTAAAAAATTAAATACTGTTATATAAGTGAAAAGTTACAAGAAATTAAATATTTAAGGTGATTTTAAACTTACTATCTATAAGTAACTTTATCTAACTATAACTTTAACTTTTTATCTATAAGTAGACATACCGATCGCAACTTGGTCTTCGGGAAATGACTATACTATAGTCTATAAGATGGAGCCTGTCTCCTGAGCCTCGTCTAGCTAGGACTGACCCGGGCCTTTAAGACAGACAGCCATCGGCCTTTAAGAAGACGTCGGTCGATGTTTCGGATGCGTCTCAACCATCTTTGGGGAGAATTAAAATTCAACAACTAACCGCCATCCTGGGAAATTCAACAGTCATCTCTATAAGAGTAAGATTCGGGCGGGCATTAATTGCGCCAACGGACCTGAGTTAGGTAGTCGGGTATTGAATTGCGCCAACTTCTCCAGGGAGCCACCCGATTTGACTGTATAATTGAGTAGGAGGTTTTGTTAGGTTAGGATGACACGTAAACAAGGACATTCCCTCTGCCGGAAACTCGCCCCTACCTGACTTGGGCTTGGCGCAACTAAGGAACATTTTTGGGATTGAGGGCTTGGCGCAATTAACGAACTCTTTGGCGCATTGATGCACGACCTAAGATTCAACGGAATTGTACAGGCATGCCTACTTGCATTGACGATGGTGTACGTCTTGTACAGTATGAGAGTAGATCCTTGTATGTTATCTTACCGTGTTGACCACTGTTCTGACCACAGATGGACATTGATCGGCCTTGTCCGCCCAACATGTAGAACACGTCTGTATCACACACGCCAGTCTGTCTGTTCGGCTGACCCTGCAATTACAACAGTGGTGATAAACAAAACAAGTCGAGAACTAATTAAACACACCATAAAGAAAATATATTAAGGAGGAAATACTATACAGGATGAGGGTGTCCAGCTTCAGCTAGGACAAACTCCAAGAAATGGTTGTATGGGTCAAAATGAAGAGAAAATCGAGGATGAAACGTTTTCCAAAATCGCTTCGTCAACCAGATATCCGACGTTTTGTGTTTTTACATAAACATGTTTATCAGGATCAAAAAGATCAAATAAAAAATAGCCGAAATATGACGATTCTAGGAAAATAAGGTGCAATCTGACTAGGCCTTATTCTACCTAGTTTTACAACATAAATTGTAATTTCTCAGCTAGTTTTTACCCGATCTTTATTAACTTGGTGTCGTTTGTTGTTAATGTAAAAAGCACAAAATAGAGGATAACCGGTTGATTACGTGGTTTTGGAAAAGTTTCATTATTGAGTTTCTCTTTATTTTGGCACATAGGACCATTTGCTGGAGTTTGTCCTAGTTGAAGCTGGACACCCTGTATCAGTGATCATAAAAAGTATTTTCATCCATTGCAGCAGGAATGCCCATTTTTTATACGTGCGTTTTTTATAAAAGCAGCCCTTTTCTCCCTAGGGCTCTACAACTACCTACTAAATGCCAATATTTAGAATGATATTAAAATGTGCCTTAACTAGGTCGCAAACCGCATTGATATTGAAGAGTTACAGATTCACATACTGTCTTAAGTGGAAGACGACTACCGTATTGCAATTTAGTGTAGGTGCATAATACAGTACAACTAGGAACATTTGACATTCACTGGTGAAATAATATCTCCGAAAAAAAACTTGCTAAAGGTGAACTATCCTTAATTTCCAAAATTGAGAAACCAAAAACGAAATGTCATCGATAATTTGTGTATTCTAACTACTTTCTATTCAGTGTTTACACATTGTTAGTTGCTACAGTGTTTAGACCGTACCAGGTTGAAATGCACAAAGTCTAGTCGTATTTGGCTGATCTCTGCGTCCATTTTCTTCACCTTGACCGAGCAAGTCTGGTTGGCTCTGGTCAGACTAGGGAAGTCTGGACTCATGAAGTAGGTGATGTTGTTCACTATCTCGTCCCCACACGTTGCCGTGACTGCAACCAAAAGGTGTTATGAGCTAAATGTTTGAGCTAAATGTTTATGGTGTTAGAGAGAATTTTTATAAAAGTGTGGACCAAGCGAATTTCCATTCACCTGATTGGATTGTCACAAAAATATTTCCTTGGCAAATCAGATTTATTCCCTATTAACATAACGTTTAATGAGTATTTAGGTTTCCTGATACAATGAATGTTATAAATTTTTTTGGCAAAATGTTAATATCTTGGTATAAAAAATTACCAAATTTGATCAAAATACAGTAAATCCATTTACTAACTACAGTTCACTACATAACTTAATAATAACATGGGAATTTAAAATTTTATGGAATTTTCTCTGTAAATATTTGGCAGAATTTATCCTCTATTTTCTAGTGAGGGAAACCCATGTTTGCACCTCAGAGGATATAAACATTGTATATATTCAAGTTCTTTGCTGTGATTTGAGCTCAATAAACGATCTTGAGCCTGCAAAACTTCATTTTCTGCTCTTATTGTAAAACCACTACAGTACCTTATTGTACATGTTATATTTCTTTAAATTAGACGAAGCACATCGTTCTCTAGATGGACACAATACGTACAATATGCAATTAAGGAGTAAGAGTACTTAAACATTATTTCATAGTCAAGCTTTGCAAAAAGATAATAACACTCGTATTTTGAAAAACACTGTAAATTGAAAGGAAATTCTTAAAACTGAAGCTACATTGTAGTTGTTTAACTACAAAACTACGTTGTTACTGGGTTATAAATATTCTAGTTACTGGAAACGTTCTACTTACAGACACAGCAGACACCAAAGCCCAAAGCACATGGTCCGTGGGACTGGCCATTTTGTATCCGGCACTCGTACGTGTTCATGCAGGTTCCTGCAAGTCGAAACACGTTTGAGTCCAATAAAATGTGCTCTCACCTAACCTCCTGAAGTAGACTGCCTAACCTTGATGATCAAGAGATAACCGCGATGGCGTTATCCAACTAATAAAAATACTATCAGACTTTTCGGGTGTGTACCTTTTTTTCAATGGCCGTCTCCCAAAGATATATATTCGAAATGAAATGAAATAATTAAATATTCAAAGCATCCCCTATCGTTTTTTCATGTTTAGGGTTTTCATATTAGTCTGTAGAGTGATTTTCTTACGATCTTAAATGTCAGACTTCAGTCAGTATCAGCTCATTTCGTCTTCTAACAATTAATTAGTAACCTCGTCTATTTATCAGCATTAATTTACTTATGTAGTTATGTAAACCATCTAATATGACATCACGAATAATTGTTCATTTTTAAATCGACTGATTTCCACCGATAAAAGACAAATTGAACTTGAGCGCAATATCATCCCATGTTATTAATCTAGTTCGAAATAAACTATGTGAACATTTTAAGACTTTTACAATAGACATAGTGCTGCAGTTAGCTTAAGTTCTGGCGTCCACCGCTAGGAACGCCGTGTAGTTGCGGCGCACGAGATACGTAACTACACTGCGCTCCAAGCGGTGGACGCCAGACCTTATGCTAAATACAGTACTGCTGTCAGAGTCAGTCTATGCTTTTACTGACGTTACCGTACCTGATCTTCGGCCGTCGTCTGCTAGACATTCTTCGCTGACAGGTACGGGGAAGAAGTTGAGCACTGAAACAAAATACAACAATTAACTAAAGTGCAACAACAAATAATCAATATACAAACCCTACTGCAACAAAACTAGAGTAAAATCACTTAAAACTAATAAAACTAGCAGATTTACCAAGCTCCTTAATTAATTTTGGGATCGAATCAACTGATTTCAAGGTGACGATCTGATTTCTGGTAAACACTCGCCTACCAAGCTTACTTTTGTTATACACTTAAGTGTGCCGTGTAATCTACAGGGTGTTCATAAAGGGGTGTCACAACATTCAAAAACTAAAAAAAAAATAAAAAAACAGGAACACTTTTATTTTTCATTTTTAATTCCCTATCAAAAGATACCAAGTTCAAAAAGATCGAATAGCTGAAATATTACTATTTTTAGTTGTAAAATGGGATAAAATAAGGCTAAGCTAGTCAGGTTTGTCCCATTTTACAACTAAAAATCATGATATTTCAGGTATTCTTCAATCGATCTTTTTGAGCTTGGTATCCATTCTTTAGTAATTTTAGTCTAAGTATTTTGAATGGCCGACATTTTGTTGATTTAAAATGCAATCACACTATTTTTTTATTGCCTCTCGACACAATAAATGTATGTTCAAAGTTTGTTTTCCGTAACTTGAATAATTCTTGAGATATAAATACAAGTACAAAATGGCGGCTAGGGACTAAACGCAATTTTTTGACCTATGTTTATAGTAATTTTTTTGTATAGATTTATTATTACTATCAGCCACTGAAGTTTGTGACACCCCTTTATGAACACCCTGTATAGCCTTAGGAAATAAAATTCAACGAGAGTTGTTAAAAATAATCAAAGTGAAAATTCATGACATATTTCAAATCAACTTGTGTTTATTCAAATAGCAAAACAGACCAGTTTATCCCCAACACAAAAAATAGAAGAAAATAATGAGTTTACAAAAAAATTAATTTGAAACATCGACTTAATAGTATACATTTTTATTTGATTATCTTGTACGTATATATAATGCCTTAATAATAAGCCATTGATTTAAAAAATGCAATTCAAACAATTAATTGGATAAATACTCTTTTCGATTAATGTGTATACACCCCTCATAATCCAATACTGTAGATCTGTTCCTAAAATCGACAAAAAAATACCATCAGGGTGGATTTTTTTCCCATCGACTACTAACATGTAGACAAGTCTCTAGCCAAAAGTCCCCATCCCTACCCCCTTGCTTTTTCCCCTACAGCCCACCAAAGTTTTTAGGGTGGATAAATGCAGTACTTTGCAAAACCACTCATATTTCAGTAACTATTTGAGATTGACCTAACATCTTGCTGTTTTTAGATTCTTAAACTTACGGTCTAAAAACTAGTTACCTAGGTGTTGTGGTTATTTTACTAGTTATTTCTATGTTCCATAATAAAAACACTATTTTTTCATTATATTCTGAATAATTAAGATATAATGATCCTATAATAATTATTATTAATAAAGCGTTTTTATTGGAACATTTTCTTCTTTTCATAAGGTTTAAAATGATATATGACTTGGCGTAACTTGCACTTACTATGCACTGTTAAAATACCCCTGCCGCAGCAAACCTGCCGACCAAGCGAATTTCCATTTGTGTGAATTAATTTCAAATTAAATCTATTAAAAAAACATTCGGTTGAATGAGTACCTAGGTTACTACAAGGAAACTATTAAAGAGTATTTTTAGTAAAATATTAATAGCTTAGTATAAAATAAATAAATTTTCCATGTTTTGTCAAAATATATCCATAAGCAAGCAAACTACAACATTTTACAATATTCCCCATAAGAATAACATGGGAATTTTAGATTTAAAATTTGTTTAACTTTCTCCGTTACCAATAACCGTACATAAACACTTTGAAATACTAAATTGTGTGTTTCTTAAGCTCTTTAAAAAGGTCTAAAGGGAAATTTTTGAGGGTCAAAAATGAGAAAAAACATTTTCCCCCATAAAACCCCCCGTAATACCCCGTTTCCATGGCCCGATCATGCTGGTTTGCGAAATCATTTAAGTTTATCCCACCTTACACCTTTAAACCAAATTTCTTCAGAATTGGACAAACATTACTCAAGTTATCGCATTTACGGACTTAATATTTATATTAATAAAAAATAAACCATAGTACCTTATTTAAATATTTTTAAAGACTTTGCATTTCGATCTCTTATATAATATATAAAAAGACCTCACATGTATAAAAATTTGAACTGATGGTGTTTTTGGCCTTTGGAGACATCAAAATGAAAAAGTAAATCGGTCCCGAGTCTAGGTCTTACCATGCCACCTACGGTAATAGCTACTTCCCTATAGGGAAATTCGCTAAAAGATTAATATTAATTAATATTCACTACGGTAATTAAAATTACTTAGAAGGAAATCACTGGTTTGATTTCAAGCGAAATCGATTTTGGACCCAGATAAATGTTGTAATTGGAATAATGATGCTATCAACAAAAGATCTATGTTAGATATTAAAAAGATCACGATTTTAACAGTTTCCTTGCGAAAAAAAAAATACCAATAGTGATGGAAAAAAATTAGTAAAAATGGAATAAATGTTATCAACCAAATGAATGGTAAGAGAGATAGCAAGAAAAACAAAATAACTGAAACAAGTTATAATTGACAAGTGATCAGTTGATAGGTGCGAGTTCCAAATAAATGACAGGTTCCAGTTTTCTCCAGGCCCATTTATAATGATCAGTACTCAGAATCTCAATTTGCGTACGGTTACTGAACTCTCGAGTTTCAAGGTTGTTGAATCGTTCCTAAATGTATGAATATATTGTGTAGGCCTAAGGTAACTTCAAATCGATAATCATTTGACTTAATGGCTCATTTGTCTCACCTGCATTCCCCATAGCATTATAAATAAGGCACTATACTGTATTTGTGAAAAATTGTCAAATAAAGATCATTACTATGCAGTCGATGTGTGCAATAACTTTTATGCTAACTCAATTGTATATATTTTATTTTATTAATTTTAAATTATTTTCTTCTACTTCTTTTTTACGTTGATAATAAACTTTGCTTTGTGATCCTATTGTAATAAACACGATTTGATTTGAAATACGACATGAATTTGAAACTATAATTTTTGTAAATGAGTTTTTGGTTACTTCAGAATATAACACTTGTGTTCATTGTTAAATTAGGATCAGGATTAAGAGTTTTGATGTACCTACAGATCTAAAAAACAGTAGTTACTAATGTATTAATCAGCTTTGTGAATAATCAACTATTTATTCTATACTTGAATATAAAAACTATATACAAAATGTTATGTCGGCATAATAGTTTTTACAATTATAATAACTACATTTAATTGAGATTTTTAAATATTTTTCTTACCTAAAAATAAACAAAAAAAATATTAAATTTCATATGTCTGGCCAATTTATTGATTTGTTTATTCATATGACCATCGTCAATTCCTCACTGTACACTAGGTTTTCATCGGTGTACTCCAGAAAAATTTTGTTTGAAGACGAAATTAAATAGAATATTTCATCATTCAATCCGTGCTACAAATCTTATATCATGACCATTTTGTGTTCCAGAAAATAACATGGTCTAAAAAAACAATAAACGGTTTTAGAGGTTGTTGACAATATGTCTTATATTGTTGAGTAACTCGCTAGTTAGGCATTTATACTACTTTTACCTAGCCTATACCAGATAAATCAATTATTTACTATTATTTTCACTAGTTTAATAATGTATGTACGTAAATCAATCAGTTTGTTTAAAGAAAAAGTAAGTAAAAAGGAAACAGTAGCAAAAGCAAGCCACAATTCAAAAGTAGTTTGCTATTAAAGGGGTTTTCGTTATGTACCTTTTTTATAGTAACAAAACATGAGTTGTGGATTGTGGTAATCATTGTTTAGTTTATAGGCATTAGATAAAGCTAGAGGTCGTCCTGTGATCGACAACTCGGACCAAAAATATATGTTATGTATAGACTACTCTATTTTCACCCCAAGCTGTAAATATAACATGTGATTGGAATTTATTCAATTTGTTTTGAATTTCTGTTTATATTTTGTTGTTAAATCGTCACCAGCATAGCAACCCATAAGGTCATTTTCTTGATTTTTTGTGCTTGTTTTTGAGCCAATTTTAATTTAAAGAGATTCTGCACACCTACAGGAAAATATCTTTCTAATGGTATGCCTAGATTTTCCCTGCATGCACATGTGCTGAGAAAAAAGGTTTTAAAGAAACATGCTTGCCAATAAGTTTACATATAGGCCTGATGCAATTTTTACAGATACACAGTGCAATAATTCATAAAAATGAATTAAAATTACGTATAATTGGCATAGAATAACAAATTAAATGTACGTTCCACGAATCGCCCGCTTGAACATTGTTGAACAAAAGAACGATGAACCTTTGCTCATATGAGGTAAATTAATGACTACGTGAATTGCACACATCAGCTTTTCCATTCTGTAGCAACCACGCTGATTAATTTTACCCTACTTAGCCGCAACAACATGCCATCTCTTGTGGCTTTATTTTTTATTTAAAATTACCAAACATGTTTTCTCTATCCAAGCAACACAATCTGGTATTAGTGAGTTTAGATTTTTCGTTTATTCATCAATTTTGTTATCATTTGTCAATTTTAGTACGATTTTCACTAAAACATTTCTTTAAAATTTTCAGATTTCTTCCCAATTTATATAGGTAACATTTTGTTTTTTAAGTACTTAGGTTTGCTGCTGCAGGAAAGATAGTAAAGAGTTTTTTTTTTTTGTTAAAAGATTGGAATAAAATAATTGAATTTTCCAATCAAGATTTGTCCATAAACAAGCAAACTAAAATAGTTCTTCATAAGAATAAAATTAGAATTTTAAAGTTTCGATGTTGTTTTAGTTATATGTGTAGCCATGCAGCTACAAAAACGCTTGAATGCGGTGTATCATTTGTTATTTAAGTTGTACAATTGGATTGGATTCAAAATTACAAAGTTTAATTTTTTTAGAAAAAAATTGACCATAAACACCATTCTCATATCAAAGACCCGCCCCAATATCCAATCATACTGGTTCGCGAACTCCTTCGAATTAATAGGTATGAATTTGAACTATGTTCTTTTAGCCTCTGGGAACATCCAAACTATAAAGTAAAGCGGTCCCGGGTCTAAGTTGTACCATAAGACGGTAATAGCTAATTTTCTGTTTGAGAAATTCGCTAGAACACGCGGAAGATAAAAATTGACCGTAAAGATTGTTCTAATTTTATTTTTGACAAACATTTAAATTTAAATGTAATGTCGATTTATATAACGTGCCGTATTTAAGTGGTGAAATCCAACAACTGAACGTTTAAAAAATGAAGTATGCAAAGCACATATTAACACATAACTCTAGTAGCATAATAAGAGAAGTTATAATTTTGGAATTTAAACAAAAGGATAAAAAAAAACGAATGTGAAAGAGAAGTTACGAAAATGAAAATAAGATCCTAAATATTTTACAACTACTAAAATTTTTACCCAAGTAATGAGCAAATCAATTAAGATGATGAACGATGAAACATAGCGTATGTTACAACTTTGAACTTAGTTAGATTAAACAACTAGATTATATTTTCTTTTTCTTTTACATTTTGTATATTTAGATAATGACAATGAGCTTAGTGTTTAAATACATCTGTCATTAAAATATTTAAAAAGTGTATGCCTCTCCCTTCTCTTACCTATTTAATTATTAAAATTTAATTGCTCTAAATAGTGAACCGTACTCTAATATCAATACTTTATTTGTATGTCAAGTGTCTTTTTTACCTCTAGACGTCCTTTGTAGAAGGTTAGACGTAGCGTTGTACAGTCGGGGTAGCAGAGGAAGTGGTGAGGGTGTCGGCCAACATAACACCACCAACGGCACATAGGACCATGACAGGACCAGCAACAATGTAGTACACACCATCCTCCGCCTGTAGCGCTAGCAGCACTGACGCTGCGCTGACCGGGTCAAGTTCACATCTGGGTCGTGTTTTGTCATTCGCACGCCGGGAATTTCCGGTTCCATGACGTCGCGATCTCTTGTTAAAATAAGGTTAGAGACGCTCCTCCTTTCTACTGGAGAGATTCTGTGCTGATCCGTTGTTTGGGATGGAGTATCGGAAAGTTTAATATGGTGGATTGAAAGAGTCAGGTCAAAGAAGTTGATATTATTGCTGGTTGGGTAAATTATAGTTTAAAATTGTAAGTATTCAATATACAAATTAAAAAATATCTCCCGAATGTCCGCTTACAGTTTCGGCTAGCCTACCTGAAGCAGCAACAAGGTCAGAATAGCGGAATGGTCGGATAACCTATAAAATTGTACAAAACCGCTGTTAAGGCAGAATACGGCTGCGCTTTCGGTACCACCTGAGCATACTAGAGTCAAGTAAATGCGTTTTTCGGTAACACCTGAGCACACTATAGTCAAGTAAATGAGTTTTTTGGTAGCACCTGAGCACATTAGAGTCGAGTAAATGCGTTTTTCGGTCGCACCTGAGCACACAAGAGTCAAGTAAATGCGTTTTTCGGTAGCACCTGAGCACACTAGAGTCAAGTAAATGCGTTTTTCGGTACAACCTGAGCGCACTAGAGTCAAGTAAATTCGTTTTTCGGTACTAACTGAGCACACTAGAGTCAAGTAAATGCGTTTTTTCGGTACAATCTGAGCACACTAGAGTCAAGTAAAGGCGTTTTCGGCACCCCCTGAACTCACTAGAGTCAAGTAAAGGAGTTTTTCGGCACCAAATGAGCACACTAGAGTAGAGTAAGGTGTTTTCTAGTGGCCGAATTCGACCAGGAAAGCTTAGTGCATAATAAATGCTCCGTGGGATCATAGACTAAGGCTTAGTCTATGGTGGGATGCTCAATGAATGCCAGAATGCGGCTTTAGACTAGCGCACGCATTGACACATTCTCAGTTAATTCGGCTATGCTGAATCGAGCCAGGAAAACCTATCTAAATTGTTTGAAATCAATAAATAAATTAAGTTTTTCCACTGACGTTGTCATATTTCCATTGAAACCACTAAGGGCTGGTTTCCCTTAGCTGGCACTGGGGTTTCCTTTCTAAATACGGCTGTTATAAAAACCCCTATGCTTGATCCTTGTGTATTCAAGTAGTACCAAAAAACGTAGCCATGCTCGGCAGCAGAAACTCGGCCGTTTTTAAGACATGATAATATTCACATTCGCCACACCAAGAAAACTTCAATGATTATGCCATCTCCCAACATATAAAGTTGTTATTTGAACACAAATGTATTGGTTAATGGTGATCTTGCAATAGCCCACCAATAGAGCACTCGTGCACAACAGTTTGTCCCAACAAGCGTAAAAAAACTACCTTTTTTACTGAAAATTCATTATTTAAAATGTCTTTTATGGGTTACAATTTTAAATTGTCACTTTAGGAATTTTTCTTTCCATGTTGGGAAATTTTAGAAGTGAAGATGAAGGAGTGTGATTTTCGAAAAACGCTAAAGGCGGGTGTCTTGTAGAAAATTGTATACCTGACTCTGAAAATTCTTTAAAATATTTGCTAGCTCTTACAGTTTTCTATAGCCGTTAAAAAAACGAATTTACCTCAAAAAGGAGGATTTAAGGGTTTTGGGACCGAGATGTACCTCCACAAAAAATTTAAGATCCCTAGCTATTCTAGAAGTGGGTAAACATTTGTATACCGTACCAGATCAGTGAGAGTTACACCATTGACTATATTGAGAGGTATATAGTCAATGGTTACACAAGCGACTGTATATCCCGTTAAAGTATGTGCACGTGTGGTCTGATTCGCCCTGTATACTATTGTAAGATTGTATACAATAGTATTGTAAGATACTATGGCAAGACCGACAATTTGTTCAATTCAGGATTCGTGAGTGAATTTAGTTTATACTAGCTGTGTGCCCGTTCTACGCACGGGGATCTTATAGTAGAGTGAAAATTTAAAAACGTACGTTTTCATGTCCCTGGCCTTTTACTTCAGATACTGGATTTGTAGTTTATTATTATGCGTTTTAATATTTTTTGGGGGCAACATGTTACACACATTTATTTGGTTTTTAATAGGTTCTAGGTATTTTTTTCGTATTTTTAAAGTCTCGAAATTCACGACCATGACGTGTCCCTAGGGTACATTTTCCAACTTTCAAGCTGTTTTTAGACTAATTATTCATGCCGAAATATATAAAGCCATATTTTTATGTCATCAATGGTTATTAAACTTACAAAAAAGGAGCATATTATAATTTTATTGTCATTGCAAACTGACTACCATGACAAAATAAGTCTGTCCCTCGATTTGGCGTCACGACCATTTGGGAAAATTTTTCTACTTTGGAGCACGACAGTGGCAAGCCTGGCGTCGATGGAGTCAGTTGGTTTTAGAGACTAGTTCGGGGTGTACGTCAGAATTGTAGTGCCGGTCGTTTCGAGTTGAAAGGAGGAATTACAAGATTAATAAAGGAAAGTTTGTGTTTTTTGTAATTTTGGTGTGTCCATGACCGTACGTAGTCATTCGATAAAGTAGACATGGTGTTAATTTTTGTTTATAAGATATTTCAATTGCTATATTAACCTAGAAGTCCACTTTGTATCCTCGAACATGAGGTGCAGGGCTACCGCCAGAACAGAACCAAATAACACGTAATGTCACGACCAAATTTTCACGACCATCGCGGGTTTTTTCACGACCAATCCAGCCTTATGGATTATAGTGTGTTTGGTCGTGACAATAACTTTAATATAATTGTAAATTGAGCAGTCTAGTTCAATTGAAACACATAGTTTTATTATAAATAACAGTATAATTGAAGGATTGTTTGGAAAGATTTAGATTATTCCAGACAATTCACGACCGTACTGCTTGCCCCTGACCATCACGTTTATGATTTCTATCATAAAAATTTAAAAACTTAAAATATCGTCATATTTCAATGTTTTATACACAAAAGAAGCACACCTCTATACAAACATAACGATTTTTCGGGTCTCAGGTAAGTTTTTTTGGAATTTTACAAACTTAAAAAGATTTTATTGCCTTATTTTCTATTTTTTGAGTTTTTTTATTTTTTTCTAGAAAGACCAAATATACCAAAAGCTCAGTGACCTTTTTATTGTATAATGGTCATAAAAGTAAATTAGTTTATAGCAAAACATAGTTATAAAAATAATATTAACTATTTTTAATATTCATTTAAACGTCCGTTATGGTCGTGACAGGATTTTGTGTTTTTCCACTAAAGATGTTTAAAAAAAAAAACTACCAAAGACATTGCTTTACCATGGACATTTTATGAAACTTCAAATGTTAATGAAATAAAAAAAATTATAAAAGTTTTGAAAAAAGGGGAAAAGAATTTGCAAAGTGCTTTTCCTGAAAACGTACGTTTTTAAATTTTCACTCAGTAGTCAGTTGAAACCTTCTTATATTAAGATTAAGAACAGCAATTAGTTTTTAAAATACAGTATCTGACAGTTCAAGCCAAAATAAATGCTTCGCAATTAAATGTCACCCGGATCGTGTTGGTCCATATGTCCAATGATTAAACTAAAAAATGTTTTATAGATCCATGAAGCGTAGCCCTAAAGTAGGCATATAATTGAAAGTTACTTTCCACATCGGTTAACTTAAACGTATTTAAAGTACTACCTCAACCTCACCATTTAACACTTTATTCCGGTTGACATTTTCAGTATCAAAGGTGCTCTTGTCCATTCCGTGAAACACTGAGAAATGAGGACATTAATGCGTTACCAACATACAACAAAACAACACAATACAACAATCCAACAAAGGCCACGAACTATTGATACATAAACAATATAAAGGCGTAAACAATTCATGATGGTTTGCCCAACAAATGTTTTACTCAAATAGGTTATCATTTTCTTAGCATACCGGGTAAGCTAAGATTTGGAATCCAGACAGAAAAAGCAAAACTTATACAGAGTTAAGACATCACTTAAATTGAATACGGACGGCTCTAATAAATAAGGTGCAACACCAACGATATCAAATTTGTAAACTACCGGTTCTAAGGAAAAGAACCAGTACCTACGTAAGAACCTACCTAAGAACTATAGTAAATCGGACCAATTAAATACATTAATATCTAGTCCCGAGGTTATTGATCTCTTGCTTTTGGATTTTCTCGTAAAAAGTTATAGCGTAAACTTATCGGTGTCAGTTTGAAAAAAAAGCAACCTTACCCAAACAAATTTTTGTTATTTAACAGATTACGAATTCTCTAAACAATGATTAGTATATCTATTAACATTAGAAGGAAATGTGAAGAAAATCACACAATGTTGGGGTTTTGGTCATTTGTAGGCTAATTTTATTTTTTAAGTAGGTAGGCCATGTATTCTATGGAAAAGTACCGGTATCAAGGATCGTCATCAAAAAGGTTGTTATGAATAAATATGTAGGCTTACGTACCCAAGATATGAGCTATGGGCCTATTGGCTGTATGGTCCAGCGATTGCATCACACGGTGAGTAGAAACAGAAAGTGACACATTGGAAAAGCGAGTTTAGCACTTCTTCTGTTAAACCTCTGTTACAATCACCCACTGCAGTTGTGATTTTTTACTTTACACTTTACACAACCGCCATTGAAGCGCCGTTAATGAGTGGAAACCTTTTTTGTAAGCTATTGGCGACGATCATTTTAGTGTCACAGCCCTATACAACACTGAGCGCGTTCTGGGAACATGCACCGGTGCACCGGTGTTGCCCCGGTGCACCGGTGTTGCCCCGGTGCAAAAAATGTGTCGTTCTGGGAGACCGGTGAGTTAACCTAGCAGACAGCTAATTCCTCTTTTTCCTCCACCGGTGCAAGATTTATGCACCGGAGAAATTGTACGGTGCATAATACACCGGCGGCCTCTGATTGGTCTATTTCTTGGACAACAGCATGCAGCTACGGCAAGATGGCGGGTCCATCGAATAATGTTCATCAGTTTTATAGGTTATGTTGCGTAATGAGTGAATAATTTAATCTATGAGGGGGTTAAACTACGTATTAAGTTAATAATTTTCAAATAATTTATTCTGTGAGGACAAGTTTGTTTGGTTTAAATATTATAAAGTAAATAATAGGTGAATGTGTAAATTATAATCCGATGTGTACCGTAAACCGGTGAATAACCGTTCTGGGATACCAAGACTCTTGCCCCGGGGCGGTACCGGTGAATAAGTCACCGGTTAATCTGCACCGGTGCACCGGTACATGTTCCCTGAACGCGCCCACTGATTCAAGGTCTTCTTCTTTCTGGTTGTCAAAACTCAAGAAACATTTTATACTCAAAGAATTTCTGGTTCCGATTTGTTCGATGTCTAGTTATTTAATTTCATTTACGGTTACACTATTAGCATATTATTGCACTTGCGATTAATTAAATCCGTTATGTAAGAAACCCGTTTTTAATCTCACTAGGTTGGGATTTGCTTTCAAAACGTGATTCGAAATAGTTGCGGTATTTGTAAACAACATTTGTAAACATGTCATTGACAGCTAGAAAAAATAATCTTGATCCGAACAGCTGTTCATTATTTCATAGACGATTATGTGATAAAAATTGAACGAAAATTTGACAAAAATCGCACAAAACTGCATTTTTGAACGTCCGTAATTTTATTTACAAAGTAGTGAGGCTATATTTAAATCACTAAAGACACTCTCGCCAATCCAGTGAATACATTAAAATGACTTGGATCTTGATATGTACTCTGGTTTTCACGGAGAAGATTGCGTAAAATGCCATCTTGAGTGTTACAGACAAAGGGACAGACAGACAGACAGAAATTGAGATAAGACTCGTTTCTGCTTCTTTAATGTATAAAACGTAAAAATCACCTAAAAGTATATAATTCTGAGCAATGTACAGACAAAACTCTAATTTTATTTATATAGATTTGTGTATATTGTTTAAAACAAATTTAAAAAATAGTTTGATTTTAAGATAGATTTTGGCAATAAAGTTTGGTAATAAGGACGAAAAACGTGGCTGTTGAAGTGAAATCGGTGAGTGAATGTGAGCAGAACTACTTACCACACCCTGTAGTCCGATTTTGATGTAAAGTGGTATGTAGATCCATTGTATATCCAGGCGGTTTTTTTTTTCATTAAAAAAGTTTAATAGAGAGGTCCATAAATTAACATAAAAATGTTTTTCACTAAAACGGCTCAAACGATTTTGATCGAAATTTAGTATATTACAGTTGTTTTGACTCTGAAAAAATGGCACAACCACGCTGTATAAACAACTGTTCTAAAGTTATTCAAATGGTTTTTATTTCCCCCATAAAATTTCATTACTATGCACAGCTACTAAGTACTCCTAATGCTCACATTTCTCAGTATGTCGGTTCTAATGCAAAGTATGTTCTATTACTTTGTTTTTTTTTTTACTCTTGGGGGTAATTATATCGACCTCAGGACCTCACCCGAAATATTGTTTTTTTTTATGTCCGAAATTTCACGCTGATTCCGAAAATGGTTGTCATTTTTCGCGGACCCGTATATCTGGAAAATCGGGGAAACCCCCGAAAACTTTGTTTTACGGGAAATGACATTATGGGTACTAAAATTAACCGGTAAAGGAAGCTGCACAAGAATATGCAAGAAATTTTCCGATGGATATTACAGTAGATACGGCTGGAAAAGCGTCGGAAAACAAAAAAATAAATCCTCGTAAATTATGTTCAAAATGTGGGTATTCAAAACAACGGGAAAACGAGTTGAACAAGAATATGCAGGAATTTTCAAGATCAAATGGATATTAACGGAGATACGGCCGGAAAAGCGTCGGAAAATCCAGTTAGCGCCAAAATGACAAAAACTAGGATGGGTTAGGTTAGATTACGTTGGATTAGATTAGGTTAGGTTATCAATAACACGGGTATTGTTAGTAACCTAACCCAACCTATCCTAACCTAGTTTTGGTCATTTTGGTGCTAACTCGGTTCTCCGCCGCTTTTCCGGCCGTAAGTCCGTTATTATGCATTTGATCTTGAAAACTCTTACATATTCATATTCGGCTCGTTTTCCCGTTAATTTGAATACCCACATGAAAGATTTACGCACATTTCTTTTTTCGTTTGTCCGGGGCTTTTCCGGCCGTATCTCTGTTTATATCCATCGGATCCTGAAAATTCTTGGATTATTCTTGTTCAGCTCGCTCTACCGGTTAATTTGAGTACCCAAAATGTCATTTTCTGTAAAAAAAAGTATCGGGGTTTTTTCCTATTTTCCGGGTCTCCGAGAAAAACGACAACCATTGTTGGAATGAGAGTGAAATTTTGGACATTTTGGAAAACAAATTTTAAATTTTGGGTGAGATCTGGGGGTCGATATAGTTATCCTTTTGGTACATAGAGGTTGTGTCATTCAACTATGCTTGGAATTTGCCACAGTTTCAAAGTTTTGTGGCACAGTTTCAGTGTTTTAGAACATTCAGAATATAATATTTCAGCTTTTTCTTGTAAGAAGTGTTTCATTATATTTTTATATAAGAGTATTAAAATAACCCTGGAATAATGCTGGCTTAATCATATGATGATTATTTAATTTACTCCTGACTTCTATTATCTAGACAGTTTGTATTCCAAATAATTAGCCTGGATAGGGATTAATAAAACATTACAGGAAAAGTACACCCAATTTAACTTAATTGATTTTTTATTTGATAACTCTTATCAACTATTTTGGACAGATATGAGTTCATATTTGTCTGTTATACTTCTCTACATGTTTAACATACATTATTTACAATTTTTAGGCACTATTACATAATCAAGAACTTTCTTAGTTACAGTATACAGAGCAAAACGATGAATACTATCTACTATTAAGTGATCATCAGGTTTGAAAAACAATTTTACTTTTGAAATTTTAATATTACACCCTGGTTAATCTCATTAGTAATAAATAAAACAATATCACAAAGTCAACACATAGACATCAAACAAATTTAAGTGCCACATGAAATTGGAATGCCATGCTGAGGTGCAGTGGGGTTGTCTTAAATTGACCATGCAGTTTGAATTCTGCACTGTTCTATTGTAAACATTTGTATCACTGCCATTCAACACACTATCATGTGAAACAGGCATGTCATTGCAAAATTGTAAACAAAACTTGTCTGACCAAACAAACCATTTGCAAGTTCTGGTGAAAGACACTTTTATTTTATCACAAAAATTGTATACCATGTCCATCTACAAGGACAATCAATTAGGCCTAACCGCAGATTTATTTTATTATTAGTCAAAATTTATCATTAACTATGAGGGGAGACGATAGATTTTAGTTTTATTTTTACATTTATTTATATATATATATATATATATATATATACAGAAAGTGAAAAAAATGAGTTTGAATCTCTATGAAACAAATATAAGTTTGCTTGCTAGCACAGGTTTTAAAACACTGAGGGAACTATAGGCAATGGAAAATGTTAAGAAAGACAAAATTGTTGTATGACCATTTTTTGTCCTAACATTTTTGAGAAGTTTCAATTTTACAAAAAAGTAATATCTTTATTTTTATTTCCTGTAAAACAGCTACTTAACAATATATTTCAATACAAAACCTACATCATGATTAACTACTAATCAAATACTAACAAAAATTAAGTGGTTTGAATCTCCAGTAAAATGCATTTATCCATTTTCTGTTTTGCTTTCATCATCTATCTCCATTGGTATTTCTTCCTCGGCTTTTTCTTTAGAGTGTAAACTTGTAGTTTGAAGTATTAAAGTTGAATGGTCATCAGGCATACATACTGTATCTTCAATCCCTTGTGCATTATTTTCAGAACATACACCCTGACTATCAGATTCTATTACTTTCTCCATTGGTATTTCTTCTTTGGATTTTTCTTCAGAGTGTAAACTTGTAGTCTGAAGCATTGAGGTTGAATGGTCATCAGGCATAAATACTGTATCTTTAATACATTTTGCATCATGTTCCGAACATACACCCTGACTATCAGATTCTATTACTTTCTTTTTCTCTGGACTCATTTCCGCATATTGATGTTCAGATTCTATTTGATATTCAAACACTCTTTTTTGCTGATTTGATCCTTTAGTATTCTCTTCTGAATCTTCCTCTTCAACCGTTTGTTCACCAAGAAGTTTTTCTTGCTCTTCAGGTCCTATAATTTTACGTTCAGACTCGTTCACTTGCTGTCTGCTCACTTCTCCTTGAGGATCAGGATCTGATTCCTGTTTGTAACTTTCTTCTTCTACTTCTTGTGTTGAACTAACCACTTCTACTGAATCACTTACCAGATCATTGTCTAATACTTCTTCAACCACACCCACGTCAGTTATCATATCTACCATCATCAAGTCTTGCGAACTTTCATGCTTTGAAGACTCTTTATTTGGAGAATGTGATTGTTCTTCTACTTCTAGGTCCATTTTCTCACATTGGCCAGAATCTTTTGCATCTAAAATTTCACTTGATGAAACATCAACATTTTTTTCGATGGCTGATTCAGGTGTTTCGGAGGATGAGATTTTAGCCTCCGAGTTGACTCTGAGCTGAGTTGGTTCACTAGTTTCACTAGAAGTGGTGTCTAAGTTTTGGTTATTGAGTGGTTGGTTAGTTTCATCGAGTGATGTTTCATTAATTATTTCAGAAACTTGTTTAACAATTTCTTTGGATGAAGTTATAGTGTTTTCGTCAAAAACTGATTTTGGCAAATCATTACAAGGTGCCTCAAAACTTTGTTCAATGAAAGGTTTGGCAGTAATTTGATTTAAGTCAGTGGGATTGGAGTGAGCCTCTGCTAACGCTAAAATGTCACTAACTGTTCTTGATAGTTCTAAGGCATCAACAGAATCCGATTTTCCAGAACCAATGCCAGTAGGTTTTAGAATGTCTTTGATTAAGAGTTCTTCTGAATCGACATCACTCACAAATGCAACTCTGTCGTTGTGAGATTCTTGAGTTTCATTTGCCTGGTTTTCTTTCAGAGCCAACTGAAACCAAATTTGACAAAGATAAAACTAACATGCTATCAAACCAAATTAACTTAACTTAAATAACAGCAATAACTTTTATGCACCAAAATGTGTCACAAGTTTTAAGCCTAAATTATGACTGCATCTTCATGTTGCATGCTCCTAATTTTCAATGCTGCAAGATTAGCCCCCCCCCTTACACCCTTAAAATTAATAATAATTTAAGGGTGTAGCATAGAGCACAAGGGCCTAGATTTTTTAGGATTTTTTGAGAGGATAGCAGGCTTACCTGAATGGGAAAGAGTCCAGACTGGCACAGGAAACACAAAACAAAACTTTACACTATATACACAAAACATTAGAATATTTCACTGTCACTGACAGCATTTTCAACTAAGGAAGAGAGAGTTTTCTAAATGTCCAAAATGGTGGCCAGTGAGTTGTTGAGTCAGTGTTGCCAATAGTATGAATTCAAAAAACACAGTTTCAGTTTATCTTATATGCACTGTACAGGGTGAGTTTTTTAAAGTGATCCAATAGCTAACTTTTTAATTACAGGACTTAGCACCTCACTTTAAATTTGAAACTTGCTCAGTTTTAAGTTTCACTCAAGAATACGATTTCAGATTTTTTCATTGTGGCCGCCATTTTCCAATATGGCTGCCAACTTTAAAATTTCTTATGGAACACCCTGTATTTTATTTTGTTTTTAGATTTTACTCTAAAAAATAAAACATTTTTGTTCTTGAGATTTATTTTTAGTCTATTTAAGTCGCATAATAATAACAAAACACATACAAAGTTCACACACAACTAAACAGTAACAACACTTAAAACTAACATTGTTTTAAAACATGCTTTAGAATTCATGCAACTTTGTATGAAAACTTTAAGTCCTCGTAGCTCCTTAACCGTTAGAGATATTGAAAAAATCTCAAGAACAAAAATGTTTTATTTTTTAGAGTAAAATCTAAAAACAAAATAAAATACAGGGTGTTCCATAAGAAATTTTAAAGTTGGCAGCCATATTGGAAAATGGCGGCCACAATGAAAAAATCTGAAATCGTATTCTTGAGTGAAACTTAAAACTGAGCAAGTTTCAAATTTAAAGTGAGGTGCTAAGTCCTGTAATTAAAAAGTTAGCTATTGGATCACTTTAAAAAAACTCACCCTGTATATCTATGAATAATATGTAAGAATGCTAGTTGGGTTGGATATTGAAGTGGAGTGGGTTAGATTACTTACTTACTTACTTACTGCTGTGGCCACTGGTACCCTAGATGGTACTTGGCCTCCCCAACACACTGCCTCCATAGGTCTCTGCTTCTTGCATCTTCCTTCCTTCTCCCTAGCTTCCTCAGGTCTTTCTCCACTTGGTCGAACCATCTAAGTTTCGGTCTTCCAAGGGGTCTTCTACCTTCTGGGTTATTCCTCAAGATGTTCTTTGATAGGGAGTTGTCATCTTTTCTTAGAATATGCCCTGCCCATCTCAGTCTTCTGCTCCGTACCTCAGCGACAATATCCGGATCCTTAAATAATTCTCTAAGTTCCCAATTATGTCTCGATCTCCATTGTCCATCCTCAAAAATCGGTCCGTACACTTTCCTCAAAATCTTGTTCTCAAATACAATAGCTTTCCTTTCTGATTTCTTGCTTAAGATCCAATTTTCTGAACCATACAGGAGAACTGGTCTGATGATTGTCTTATAAATCCTGAGTTTGGTGGTGTGGGATATTATTTTTGAAGTCAGTAACTTGTGACAGGCCGAAAAACTTTTTTGTGCTAGGTTTAATCTATTTTGAATTTCTAGCTCTTCATCATTATCACTGGTGAGGATGACTCCCAAATACTTGAAATTTGTTACTTTTTTAAATTTATACTTTTCAATTTCAATGTAGTTGTTATTTTGGTATCTTGGTTGGTCATCATCTTGTTTTCTTCCACATGTCATAAACTTGGTTTTCTCTTCATTTATGTATAGCCCCATTTTTCTTGTATGTTCAATAAGCATTTTTGTTACATCTTTCATTTCTTCTATATTATGTGTAATTAATACTATGTCATCTGCAAAAACTAGCAAGTTTATGTTTGTTCCTATCTTAATCCCTACTTCTGTTTTTCTTATCTCCTGAAGAGCTGTTTCTATGGCTAAATTGAACAGCAATGGAGATACCCCGTCTCCCTGCCTCACACCCGTGTTCACCTCAAAGTCTTCCGATACGTCTCCATTTACTCTAACTTTGCACTTAGAACCTAAAACACTCAATTTTGCTAGTTCTATAAGTTTTCTTGGTATACCTAGATGCTCCATGTTTATCCACAACTTCTTCCTATTTATGGAGTCATAAGCCTTTGAAAAATCAATGAAGAGGCAACAGAATGATTTGTTGAATTCATAATACTTTGCTATTGACTCTTTAAGAATGTAGATTTGATCCGTCGTTGATCTGCCTCTGCTGAATCCTGCTTGATGCTCTCCAACAATATCTGTTGTGTATTCCTCTAGTCTTCTCTGAACTATTTTGGAAAGTATTTTGTAGGTGACATTTAGGAGAGATATGCCTCTGTAGTTATTGCAGTCTTTTTTGTCTCCTTTTTTGTGAATTGGTACAACTAGGGCTTCCTTCCATTCCTTGGGTATTGTTTCTTCTCTCCAGACCTTGAGTATTAGTTTGTGGATTCTTTCTGCTAGACAAAAGCCACCTGCTTTTAAAATCTCTGCAGTTATACCATCCTCTCCTGGGGCTTTATTATTTTTTAAGCTCTTGATTGCTTCTTCTATTTCTTGTATGGGTGGTTCTGGAATCCAGGGGTGTACGGTCTGATAGACATCTTCCTGTTCTTCCTCTTCCTGCTGCAGATCACCATTTAGTAGCTCTTTAAAATATTCTCGCCAAACTCTCAGTCCGTCTTCCTTTTGGATTACAACTTGTCCCATTTTATTTTTGATCCCCACAGGTGAAGGTGTGTATCCTTTTTTGAAAAATCTTAATGCACGATAAAATTCTCTTGAGTTGTTTGCTGTTCGATCTTGTTCTGCTCTTTCCAGAATATTATTGATCCATTCTCGTTTTTTCTTTCTTAATAGTTTAACTGTTTCCTTGCTTTGCCCTTGGTAGCTATCTCGATCTATATCTTGTTTGTTTCTTAGCCAAATTCCCTTTGCTTGTCTTCTTTTTAAAACTGCCTCTTTGCATTCTTCATCAAACCAAGGTTTATTGTTTTTTCTTTCTTTTTTGCCACAAACTTCTTTAGTACATTCTCGTACGGTCTTCTTTATATTTTCCCATCTCTTTTCTATTGAGTCCTCCACTTCTGCCTCTTGCTCCACTGTGTCTAAGGCTTGGAAACGGCTTGACAATTTAAGCTTAAATTCGGTCCGGATTCTTTTATCTCTAAGTCTATCAATATCTATATTTTCTACTGATGGTACTCCTTTCCTCTTCTCTATTTGTATTCTTTGGTATAATTTGACTAGAACTAGGCTGTGGTCTGACCCACACTCTGCTTTTCTTATGCTACGTACGTTTTGTACATGACTAGAATGTCTACAGTCTATTAATATGTGATCTATTTGATTTTTTACCTGACCATTTGGTGAGATCCATGTAATTTTGTGGATGTCTTTTCTCGGGAAATATGTGCTCATAACTTTCAGGTTGCAAGCAGTAGCTAGGCTTAGTAGCCTTACTCCATTATCATTGCTATCTGTGTGTAAACTATTTAGTCCTGCAACTTCCTTCCATATCTGTTCTCTGCCTATCTTTGCGTTAAAATCTCCCATCAGTAATTTTGTGTCATATCCTGGTAACTTTCCCCACTCTTCTTCTAACAGCTCATAAAAAGCGTCTTTGACGTCATCGTCTGTGTCCTCTGTAGGAGCGTAGGCACTCATTATTGATATATTCTTGAATCTACCTTGGTTTAGATTAAAGGTATTATCTCAGGTTTAGGTTTGGGGGTTGTCTAGACTTAGTAAACCATTGATAAGACAATTCCCATCTTCTCAGTTGTGACTGGTTACATTGAGGAGGCAGTGATTTGACTATTTTGGTTGTAAAGCAGTCATTGAAACTAGGGTTGTTGTGGCTCTGGGCATGTTGTACAACTGGTTTGTCTTTGTATCCAGTAGATACATCTTGTCTATGGCCATTCATCCTGGTTCTGAGGCTATTGGTGGATAGGCCTATATACTGTGCCTCACATTTGTTACATTGTAGTTGGTAGATAATGTTCTTCGTTTCACAAGTGTTGAAGCCTCGGATGTTGTAGTTTTCTTTGGTTGTGGAACTGGAAAATGTTTGGCTGGGTTGATTTATTTCACATGTTTTACATCTCTTGTTGTCACAGGGATATGAACCGTTAGGGCGTGCGTTGTTTGGGTTGTTGTTGGCCGGGTCAGGAACTTTTGGGTGGACTAGTATTTTTCGGAGATTGGGTGGTTGTCTAAAAACAATGTTTGGTGGATCTTTCAAAAAATTGATGGTGTGGTTGGAGGCCTTGAGGATTTTGAAGCCCTCTTTTAAAATGTCATTCAATGAATGTAGTCCTTGGTGGTAGTCTGTGACAAGAGCAATGTTTTTGCTATTTCGTTTATATCCCTGTGACAACAAGAGATGTAAAACATGTGAAATAAATCAACCCAGCCAAACATTTTCCAGTTCCACAACCAAAGAAAACTACAACATCCGAGGCTTCAACACTTGTGAAACGAAGAACATTATCTACCAACTACAATGTAACAAATGTGAGGCACAGTATATAGGCCTATCCACCAATAGCCTCAGAACCAGGATGAATGGCCATAGACAAGATGTATCTACTGGATACAAAGACAAACCAGTTGTACAACATGCCCAGAGCCACAACAACCCTAGTTTCAATGACTGCTTTACAACCAAAATAGTCAAATCACTGCCTCCTCAATGTAACCAGTCACAACTGAGAAGATGGGAATTGTCTTATCAATGGTTTACTAAGTCTAGACAACCCCCAAACCTAAACCTGAGATAATACCTTTAATCTAACCCACTCCACTTCAATATCCAACCCAACTAGCAGGCTTACATATTATTCATATATATATATAGTGCATATAAGATAAACTGAAACTATGTTTTTTGAATTCATACTATTGGCAACACTGACTCAACAACTCACTGGCCACCATTTTGGACATCTAGAAAACTCTCTCTTCCTTAGTTGAAAATGCTGTCAGTGACAGTGAAATATTCTAATGTTTTGTGTATATAGTGTAATAAAGTTTTGTTTTGTGTTTCCTGTGCCAGTCTGGACTCTTTCCCATTCAGGTATGCCTGCTATCCTCTCAAAAAATCCTTAATAATAATTTACTTTTATAAGTAAAAAGACATTATTTTGCACTATTGGCACTAACTATAAACTTGTTTAAATAAACTGTTTACCAAACAAAGTTGAAATTATACTCTTCAGTTAAAATAAATATTTCACTTTTATGCCAAATACATTTTTAAGTAATGACGCGATTCAAAAATATTTTAATAGTAAAATTTTGTCTGTGATTCACAATTCATATTGATAGCGTCTTCCTATATTCTTTCAATGAATGGTTTTTCATTCATTCCAATTTCAAGAGATTCGTCAATAGAAAATATATTTCATGACCCAAAGATAGAATTTATTCCAGTTATTCAGGCAGTAATGGCAGTATTTAAATTTTTTAACTGAAATAACTTGGTATTTCAATTGCAGAAGACATCTGCAAAGTTTGTCAAGTAAACACTCATGTTACTGCTAATGCGGGAGATAATGAAAATTTTGCCACAATCTCAGAGCTTAGCTCACCCTCTTTACTTTTTCAATTTGGCTCTCTTTCAAAACTAGGGATTTGGTTCAAAGGAATAGAATTTAGCTTGCTAATAGAATTTCTGATGATTCCACAGGCTAATAGATAACAAAAGGGCTCACGCAACAAAACAAAATTGCATCCTGGCATAGGACTTTTACAGTGGAGAGCTTTAAATTGCAAGAATTAAGCTAACTTACCATTCCTAATTCACCACGAGTGGGTAGAACAGTGTGATAGACACAAGTAGCATTTTCAAACACATTCAAGGTGGGTTCCTTACAGATATGGTCATCTCTCTTGACACCACACGACCTGAACAGCACTTGATGTGTGTCCTACAACATTAACATTTAACATTGATGATTATTTTAAACTTGTTCACATGCAATAGTTGTTCGACATTTTTATGAAGGAATCTCTCGCAATTGTACAAGTAGGAAGCTAATGCTCAAACGCTTATGCAAGTATAGCCCAGAACTAGAACTATGGAGATAGTTGGGTCTCATGTATGGTTCATCAGATTCCAGAAAGGAGAAAGACTGTAGATTCAGAGTACCCTGCCCCCCCCCCCTCACCCGAAACACTCATCAAATCTTGATAGTATTTATCTAGGTAATAGTTTTTCCCTGGATTTTACAATATTGACTCTTGAATACTGATGTAGACATCCCAACTAACTGGATTGCCCATATGGGTTGATATCAGTTTGGTAATTAAAAAACAATTCTAGATCCTTTACCATTAGGTAATATTTATCAATGCTGTGAAATAGATACACACTATAGACAGTAATGAGATAAGGGCTGGACAGCAAAAAAAGTAACATTACGACTTCACTCCTGTTTGGGTTGAATCTAGATTTCACAGACTTACCTCCAAGATGTGTTTACGGCAATACTTGGTGACAGGAAGTGTCTTGGCTCCACACTTCACTCCACCTTCAGTAAAAGCACACTTTCCTTTGTGGGAAGTTCGCAGTTGATGCCCTTCAGTCACCTAGAAATTAAATCAAGACCTTTTGAAAAGTTTAACATTTCACCAGAGGAATTATTTTTAATGACATTAAACAAAAATTGTCAAAATTGGTGCAACCGAGGTACCCCAGGATGTATTTTATAACTATAGGTAGTCTATATACTTAATACAATTAAAAAAATTATCATATAAAAATGAATAACACTTCCATTATCCTTAAAATAATGGCCACTTTCAGATGACACTCATAAATCCAACACAGCCAAAGACCTAAAGATGTCAGAATAATGAGTGTCAACTAAATACAAAGTTATTTTCAGTAAATTAAAAATTTGTGAAAGTCCTTTAGATGTTAACTATACAAACAAAAGAAATATACATACCTGAGCCCTCAACTCCAAAGCCTTTTTGTGCAGAATTGCTTCTACACCGTGGTGTTTATGGTAACGATTTAAAGCTTTGAGTTTCTGATACAACTTCTGTTCTTTAGCCGTCTGTTTCTCTTGGTCATGGATGCTACCTGAGAACATATTTTACTACAGTTGTCAAACAAAGTGGCATTTTGGTCACTAGAATTAGTTTTGCAATGTTGCTTTGTTCAGTTGTCATCCAGAGTGAGAAAAAGTAGTGGGTTAAGTAAACTATTTTATCTTAAGCCAAGTTTACACGACTCAGCTCTCAGTTAGTGTTTTATGAAATATTGTGTCGTACTGTAACTCACTGTCGACTTGTTTCGACCAAGTTTCGTCATATTTACTAACTAAAAACGCATTAGAACAGCTTATAAGTATTGAGAAGTTATTTACAAAACACAGATCATACAGATGTTGATTATTGACAAACATCAGACGACGTCATCTGGGGAAATCTCTTCCACGACGAGAAAAAAACACTAACAAAGGCAGTCAAAGCTCTTGCTACATGAAGCTCAGACAATGCTGATTCGATTGGTGTGTCATTTGTGGCTTTTGGAAACAAACCGTTAGATGACGTCCAATATATCGAACCGCGGCGGCCAAAGGGTTAAATATACTTAAAAGAACCCAATTTACTGTTAATAGTTTCCAAGCATGACTCCCCATTTTATCTCAAAATGTCTTAGTATAACTTTAAAACATACCATGATGGAAATACTCACACACAAAACAACAGACCTCAGTAAAATTTAAAATGTTCTATTTCTTAACATTATTTTTAAATATAAATAAAAGCAGACCTACATAATAACACAAATTAGAAGCACGAGGTTATATTTATTCAGCAGTAAACACACACTATGAGCTTAACACGCAGCAAAACTAGTTTTTGCCTTTCTCTTTCTATTTTGTGCCTACAGTGTAGAATATGCCTATTTCAAACTGATTGAAAAAGTGGGAGTGATTTGAATAACACAATGCGTATTGGCCACACAAAGCTCTAATAGAAATTAACTTACATAGTGTTTCTTTTTCTTTTTTCAGAGTGTGCAAATATCTTCTTCTTTTCTCCTTCAATAGGTGATGGAGCCGTCTGAACTGGTCAATGTATAGAGACTGCAGTCTTAACATTTTGTCCTTGATAATGATAGTCACTTCTTCAGCAGTGTAGGTTCCAGCATGCCTGATAAGGAGAAGCATTAATTAGTTTCACTTTTCACTTTGTCTGTTATTTTTATGTAATTTGTAATAATGAATTCAAAACAAAAAGATAAATGGATTTTTGAGCTTTTACAGACAGCAAAGAATCTTAATCAATTGAATAGCAGCTTTTAAATTGTTACAATGTTTGTTTTTATTATCTTTTATGTTACCCTACCTTGCCGCAGCAGGGTTATGTTGAATAGTGGCGACTATGATTTACTTTATTTGTTTATATTGTATTGTTGGTAATTAAGAGTTTATATTGTTTAAGGATTATTGCATTAATTGTTTTTAAGAGTTTATATTGTTTAAGGATTATTGCATTAATTGTTTATGAAAGATCAGTAAAACAGAACTTTCAGAATTTTTTCAGAAAGGATCTAGAATCATGTATCTTTACTTGTGGGATAATCTAGGACATGTTAAGAAAAGTAAATTGGGCTGAGATATGAAAAAAAAATCTTTAACCAAAAATATCTGGTAATCCAACCAAAGGCCCTAAAGAGTTCACATCTTCCCACATAAAAAGGGGGTCAGATTGTAAATTCTGAAACATAGTTTTTACTCGGCAGGGATGGAAAATGTCCGCATTAAGCGTTAAAAGTTAGCTCTATTGTTGGCTAGGCATCCCTTACTTGAGTGGGTCTTCGTTCTGACTATCCACACTCTCCGCGTCGGACGACTCCTGATCTTGCGCTCTCCACACACTGTCCAGCATGGCCATCTCTCCATCACTATCCGACTCACTGACGTACTCCAACACTTGGTTGACTTTGTTGTTCACCTTGCTCGCATCTATGTTCACTAAACACACACAAAATTGAGCTGAAGGCCAAAAAAACAAATACCCAATCTTTACATCAGCTGGTATATTTAAAACAGCTTGTAGAAACACTGCAGCAGTATTTCCATTAGAAAATGACTGGATCACAGACGGCCTGTGGGGCAGAGCAGGGGTAATTTTGACACTACTGATATTTTTCCCACCGTCCTTGGGCGTTACGCTATAAATGGATCCCCAACAGCAATGCTACCTTTTGCCTAGCACGAGATATTTCGTAGGGACCGATTCCCTAACGGAATTAAATATATATATAGATACAGTGGAGTCCCGATAATCCGAACTTCGGTAATCCGAAAGTCCGCTTAATCCGAAACCAAAAAATATATTTTTTAAATTTTTTGTAATAAAAAAAAAATTTTTTTAATTTTTTGAATTTTTTTTCGAAATTTTTTGAAATTTTTTTCAAAATTTTTTGAAATTCTTTACGAAATTTTTGAAGTTTTTTGGAAAGTTTTTGAATTTTTTTATTTAACTTTTGACACAGTTAGCTGTACCTCGTCAAAGAATTCTGTAGCGGCTGGGCGAGATAGACTTTTTTTGTAGATTATTTTAGTAGATTAATATTTCACCATTTTTGTTATTACTGTAACATTTTACATTTTTGTCCACCAAATCACAAATGGATTTTACATACTAAGTGATAATGCTGCAGCCAATAGGTCTAGCCTTAAGTAATGTGAAAAACAATCCCGGGCTCGTGCCTGCGTCCGAAAAAAAGTAGTAAGAATAAGACAAAAAAATTTCAAAAAAAAAAATTTCAAAAAAATAAAAAATAAAAAATAAAAATGTTTAATCCGAAATATTCGGTAATCCGAAATGGGCCCGGTCCCAACCATTTCGGACTAACGGGACTCTACTGTACCTTACTTCATCAATTGATCTTGTGTTAGAATTATACTACTATAGTTTTAAGCCTTAATCACATGCCTAAAAGCATGACTGGTGTCTCAGTCCTAAGTAGTAGGAAGTGGATATGACAAGATTGAATACTTACCAAATGGATCAACAACTTTGGATTGTATTTCTGCCGAATCTCCTCCTCCAACTTCCTTCTTAACAGCAGGTTGTTCTGGAGGCACATAATGTCCCAGGGTGGCAAACAACGTTTCCTGAGTTTTAGGAGGGGCATGGCGACATGAAGCTCTTGTTTTCTGAAGTTGAGTTTTCCTATTATGTGGCCCACAAAACCTAAACCAGAGAAGAGGGTACAGATTAAAACATTGATGGATACCAGGATAAGCCAGAAAACTTATCAGTGAAAACGTAGCGCCTGTTTTATATGCTTTTAATGTCCGGTAATACTTAATGATTTTTGTTCTCTTTTTTAAGCTAAATTTTCATGTAACAATACCGGATGACATTCAATAGTTTATAAGTGGACTATTCTTTAACTTTAGTCACGATTTCAAGTTGTACAATGCACTTAAGTTATTTGAAAAATATCACAGACTTTATTCATAGCTTAACTGTTTAGATAGCTTTAAAAGTTTAGGATGACAAGTCTATAAGGAACTTTTAAGCTATGTTTGATCTATGGAAAAGTTAATCTAATATCTGACACAAAAATATTAATCAACATGATTAGAGCAGAAAATGTTTGGACAAACTGATTTATACAATGGAACCTCAATCCAATTGCATGTCCAATGTAATGTGATTACCGTTGTTTAAAATATATATATATATCTACTGTAGCACCCATTTATACTGAAGTCACTGTGGCACAAGTAAAGGTCACAACTACTCTCAACACAAAAATTGACTCCTGCCTTTAGGTTAGGACATGGTTAGGGGGTTATAACAGTGTTTTTATTTATTTACTTAAGAGTGCACCATTTTTACAGGAAAATACATAATTTTTTTGTGACAAATAAAGGCGGTTTCACACTGGCGTCCGCGGACGATAAAATAATAATAAAATGATAAAATGATGAATGCGGGGATAAAATGATTCGGATGGATGCACTTCACATTGTGAGCTACGTTTCAAACGTCCACTCATGTTTGTCAACAAATACATTTATGTTAGTTGAAATGTTTATACACATTGTTTACTGTCCCAATGATGTTTATTTCTTAACTCAAGTCTTGGAAGTAAAAACGTGTTAGTAAAAAAACTAAATAAAAATGTGGTAAAAAAAGTGCAAAAATCGCCGCCATTTTTAAATAGTAAGAGACGGAAACTTGACACTCCACAAAAAAAGTACCTGTTAGTCCTTACTTACTACTGAGTTTGAAGTTGGTACTTCAACTGGTTTTAAAGTTATTAGAACTTATGTAAACAAAAGTACCGACAGACGGTAAATGAAGCGAGATAGGACCTTTGTCCACAGGATCGTTTTTTGCTTATTTTGACCCAATAAACCATGTTATAAAGTTTGGCAAAGGACTTTACAGACACCTTGTATAATCCATTTTGGTCATGCATATTGGCTAATCAACAATTAATAATTAAATATGAAAATAATATATATAAATGGTGCATAAATAATCATTTTTATAATACTGTACACCAGACTGAGGTGAGTGACAGATGCCGCGCTGCGCTACAAGTGTTTTGGTGCTCAGTGCGCATGCAAAAAGCTTGGATGTCCGCGGACGTTTTAGAAAAATCGCTCCCGGAGCGATTCCACCATTCGTCCACGGACAAATTTCTGCATCCGCGGATGGACGCTACGTTCCAATGTGTGGTCAAGAACAATAAATAATATAGAAAACCTCAAAATAATGATTCAATATAAATAACTAGCAAATAAAATAGATTTTAAGAAACAAGAACAAAATAACTACAGAGAACAAAAATGATAGCTACTGTACACAATAAATACCATGCAACATGAGTGTTTGTGTTATATTTTGGGAAGTGAAGTGATAGATTTTTAACAAAAGCATTATGCTATATCGCAAAACAAAACTGACAAAGAAGGTAATACTGTAGATTCCCTATTATCCGGACTCCTTGGGACCGAGGCCAGTCCGGATAACGGGTTTTCTGGTTAAACCAACGTCCCCAAAAACTCGTTATGTAACCCAAATATTTTATTTATCTTTCCCACGAGAACAGTCGTTTTAGTACAGCACACTTCCTGCCGATCTAGTCCAGTTAAACCAACGTGCAGATAAGAATTGTCCGGTTAAAGAGATGTCATTTCCGCTGAGTGTTGTCGGGTTAAAAGGTGTCCGGATAAGAGGGAGTCTACTGTAGACTTCAAAGCAATAGTTGGCTAGCAACAAATTGGATCTGATTTAAAAAAATCAGTATTAACTTTGGTCCTTCAGCACAAAAATCTAGATAATGTCATGGGATCTCTATTAAAACATTTGCTACCGATCCCCACATGTACATGCGACGCTGCAGTATGCTGCGCCACGCACCGAGGTACACATTTTAATATTACACATAGACTGGGTGTCAGTTAGTTATCAGTACACACAGACCACTGTCCAGTGTTGCAGCAAAGTAAAAACAGTTTTGCCAACCATCAAATTACGTCACAAATCATCATATCTACAGACCAAGACCCTGCAGATATACAGCACATATAAGACAGACATCCCTGTAGACCACTGCAGACAATTCAGGGCCTTAAAATAGACCTTTAGGCACAAGTTTTTTTAGGCATAAGCTTTTTAATAACGTCATGTTGTATGTTGTTTTTTCTGAATCACTGTGATATAATATACCTATATGAGGTTACATTACCTTAATCGCCAAGTGATCCATGTAGGCCAAAAATAGGATTACATATGTTTTGACGTCAATGCGTCATTGTCAAATCTTACAAAAACTTGTCTAAACCATAAGGGTCACGTCATAGTCTTTCCGACACACACGTACAAAACACAATAACGGACAAAAATTGTGTTTTGTATGTGTGTGTCGGAAAGACTATGACGTGACCCTTATGGTTTAGACAAGTTTTTGTAAGATTTGACAATGACGCATTGACGTCAAAACATATGTAATCCTATTTTTGGCCTACATGGATCACTTGGCGATTAAGGTAATGTAACCTCATATATATTATTTTTAATAACATTGTCACACCGACGCAAATATGCGACATAAGTCTGTTTTAATGTGAATAGCAGTTGCATAAAAGTAGGGATGGTCAAGTCTCGAAATTTCGGGAAATTTCCGGGAAATTTTCCATCTTGTTACACGAGACGAGATTTCTTTTTGGCCGAGATTTTTATCGAGACGAGAATAAAAAATTAAAAAATTAAAAACGCCTGCAGAAAGTAAATGCAATACCCGCAATACAGGAGCGTGTTGTAGTTGCGTTTCCTTTGCGAAGGCGTTCTTATTTAATTAATTCTTTAAATGTAAATATTACTTTAATTATTTTAATAATATTACTCTAATAACATTTGAGAAGTTTTGTTAAGTGTAAGCAGTGTGAGGAATGTTTTATTACTATAAAAAGTCAAAACAAGTAACTATTTTATAAAAATGAATATTGCTTTAATTTTATGATTTATTTTATTTTAGGATAAGTTGAACTCTAATCCTAACTGATATCTTTATGTTTCCTAATTGTAGGCATTTTTAATAAGTTAGGCGTGATTAATAAAAAAATGTTATGCTGATGTTTTTTAATAAAAGATTGTAAATATTCTTGCCTATTATCATTATTTTTGTATTTAAACAGTCATCTAACAATGTTACAAAATCAGGTAAAAATTTTGAACGTGCATTTCCCGTTGTGTATGAGAAGGGAAATCCCGTCTCGATCTCGTCTCGAAATTTTATGAGAAATAAAAAATCTCGTCTCGTCTCGTCTCGAACTAAAAATCCAATCTCGTCCATCCCTACATAAAAGCGGTGGCAGTCTATGAGTAGAAACCGGTGTCAAAATCCGTTACGTACCCACAGCTATATTTTTTACAATTACACGTCTACGTTCGAGATGTTTGGTTGGTTAGGTTAGATGACACTGTTCTAACCTAACCTAACCAACCAAACTTCTCAAACAGTCATTTCCAGGTATTTACGACGGCATTGTTGTCGGCAGTGGCGTAACAGCCGCCCCCGCAGACCCCGCGGTGCGGGGGGGCCCGCGAAGTTTAGGGGCCCGCGAGGTTAAGATACCCTTTTCTCATAAAACCGTCCGTAAAACCGATCCTTTGTTCACGGATGTTTTTCTCTCCTGACAAATTATAAATAAAAAACGATGTGTTGGTAGATACTTTTATTCTGCCAAATCTACTAAAGTTTTATCTTTTAATTAACAATATTGTTAACGAAACGCCAACGCTCACTACGATCACCCGACGATGTGTATTGTCAGTGTGGTTGTGTAGCTTCATGCTAGCGCTAGGAGCTGTGTGCCTGCCTGCCGGCCTGCCGCCGCGCCGTGGCGACACACACTCGGAGCCAGCCCCTCCGCCTCCCCCCTCCACCACTAACCGCTCACGTGTACTCAGCTGACCGTAGATCACCTGATTTTGGAGATCCATTCCATGCGGATTGCGAGTGACTCGTCAGTAGTGCATGTCGCGAGAGTTTCTCAATCAGGTGTCATGTCATTAAATTGGGCTAATTTAGTGAAGCACTAACATTTACAGTTGGGACCACGAAAGTTTGCAGTTGGCGGCAGCCAATCACAAGACTAGTGCGACGTTGCCATATCGCCCTTTGACGACACTAATTAAAATACTAAACAATATTTTTAAAACAGCTGGTATTATTCGATTTGGCAACACCGCACTGCCCTCATTGGCTCATTTGAAGTCAAATGGTAAATAGGCTACTCCCTCAACTGCAAACTTTCGTGGTCCCGACTCAAATTATAGTTGGAAGCTTGGTTGAGTTTAGTAATGAATGTGAATGGTGGAGTAATGGAGTAGCCCATATATATTAATCACGGACATATCTCCCAAGTTTATTATCACTATGACAGTGACAAAATATAAAATATGTTTCAAGGACGACTCTGGTCGTGTGGTTGAAGAATAGGTAAATACTTGATATTGCTAGAGACCATCCTCTGCCAGTCTGATCGTGTAGGCCGTGGCCGTAGGCCTGCCGTCACCTACGTCATGTGATAGTTGTGGTGTGGTGATATGGTTGTGGTATATAGTGCTGTGGTGGGGAATGGGAGGGGTAGTAGGAGGCCCACAGACATTTTTGCGGGGGGGCCCGGGGAAATACTGTTACGCCACTGGTTGTCGGTCTGATCTTATCTGGCTGGGAGAGACATTGCTGCTTTTTGTCCACCTCAATAGACTCGTGAGTTTTAACCCTCCAAGTGTCTGTAGTTTGGTCTTAATGTTCGCCCATTTATTGCGCAATCGCAGGGTTTTATTAAAATGTATCTTAGAAACTTAAAAACAATGTAAAGTATACTGTCTTATATATCATTTTGTTTGGAAAATTATGGGCTTCAATGTAACATATAAAACATTAAAATTTTCAACAATTTTTGTGGGGTTAACATTTCTCAAAAATTATAAAAAAATGAAAAAAAAATTTTTGTTTGCGCTCAATAAATTGTTATAATTCATAGGTCTACAAATATTTTAAAATAGCCACTTTGTTCAGAATTTTATGAGGATTCCAAAAATATAATAATATAAGGAAGTAGGTTTGCAAATAAATAAGTTATGTGCAAAAACCAGATTTCGGTACATAGCGTTTAGCTAAGAATGCATAGCCTAACCATAGCTAGGAATCTGGCTGATAATTTACATCAATATCACTACCTACTTCTTCAGGATCATCAACCAGCCCTTCAAAATCACTTAAATCTTCTTATAATGCACCATGTATATCACCACTGTACTTTTGATTTTTAACACTAAAACAATGATAAACGTAATAAAACACATCAGTCTTCGGTGCCAGGTTAACCAAGCTGTTTACAAATACGCACATCAGCTGTCTGCTACAATATTTTCGGAACTAAAATTAAAAGCGTATAGAAACAGACATCAGGAGAAAGCTCTGAATCTGCTTAAAAAACGATACCTAACTCGATCCAGTTCAATCCGATTCAGTCAGTCCCAGAGCCGTCGCCGTAAACAGTGTTTGTGAGTCGCAAAAGGGACACATAACACTACAGCGGATGTGTTATGAGTCGCTTTTACGACACATAACACTCGGAGGGTTAACCATGTGTGTGATTTTTTCCTTCAATTTATATTGTGTGTAATTAAAACCCTACCGGTACTATAAAGAAAGTGTGTCTTTATCTTTATTTAACACCTACACTTCCTAACAATTTGTTATAGAAGTACAGTACTTGTAAAAAATAGAGTTGTGGGCACTGTTGTAAAGCAAATTTATGTTAAACATATATATAACCAGAAGATTTGTTATTTGTTATGATTTAAGGTTTGCGTATACTGACCACCTTAGAACAAGTCACTTGAAAAGCGAGGAAGAAGAGTACGATATCACTAGGTACATTACAATTTCCAAGAGAAATCTATTCACGTCATAAAGAGATAACGTTACAACATGACGATGCAGCAAAATCTCCATCATCACATACCAGACCAATATCTCCCAAATGTTCATCAACCAATATCCCTCTTACTACAAACAATTGCACACTATCAGATGCTGTCATTCGACGCTCTCAAAGAACCTGCAGAATGCCAGCAAAATTAGATCTATAAACAAATTCCTTCCCTTGTCTCTATATATATATATATATATTTTGTTTTATTTTACGTTGGAAGGAGCTGTAAAGTTAATTTATGTTACATATGTATAACCATAAGATTTGTTATTTGTTATGATTTAATTTAGAATGCATAAGGAGATGCTTACCAACAATAGATGATGAACATTATTGGAGTTTGGGTTCGAGTAACTTTAAGATCGTTCCTGTAATTTTATCAGTTAATAAATTATCCATTATTAATTTACTTAGACTTTTTCATGCTATAATAGGCACGTAACAGATATTGACCGAAACCCTCCAATGCAAAATGGTCAATGCTCCATATAAATGAAAAATGTTGTACTATTGCGGTAGCAAACGTGTTAAAAAACCTAAATTAAAATAAAATCACTTTTGTATGCAATACTAACCATGTGTCTTTTCGTTCTTGTCGCAGAGCAGGTTTGCCGCATATTTTACCACTGACTGTGTAAAGATACATACACGGTCGGTAAGGTGAATTATTATCTTCCAAGATGTGTTTCAAGCAGTAGTCATAACCTTCTAGACACATAAGATTACATTTTCTGTGAGAATATTTACATAGTCCTTGACGTTTAGGTTTCTTTACCACACGCTCAGGTAAAAAGTTTGTACTTTTCTTTTTAGAGGACTGGGTGGCCGATTTTGGTGTGCGAAACATTCTGAAAACAAAACAAGAGTATTACGGTATCTAATTTAGTATAAAAAGGACTTTGTTCAGTAAATGCCATAGAGCCTAGCTAGTTGGATTGCTGAGTTTCGTTTTTAACAATAGCTACACATTGATGTCCCAATCTTGTAAGTGTATATCTGACATCATCAAACAAACAAAAAAAAAACAATTGCTAGGCTATACCAAATCAAACTAAAGATGAGTTTCCTAGCATTCATGTCCATTGATACATTTTAACTACCATTTGATAACTTTTAACTTAAAACACAATTTATAAGCCTATAGCTTGAAATTCCTTTTGGGAGTAAATTATCACTAGCCGGCACCCAATCAAATACTGTATAATGTTTAACATATCTTACAGCAGCTAGAACTTTTGACTTTCACCTGGATAGCCAATTAGGCCTAGTTACATTACCGGTACAGTAGGCTACTGTAAAGGCCTTCTTGAAAAGAGTCGTGGCAAAAAAACAATATCGAACTTAGCCAAACTCGTTACTTTACAATTGATTTACCAAATAACTTCTTGATCAGTATTGTACGTGTTATTAAATTTACGTAAAGTAAATAAAAGAAACGTCTTATAACACTTAAAAAATATATTTACGCTTAGGCCTATACTGTTACTCACAAGACGGTAAATATACAAAAAAGATGGTTTCAAGAGATGTGGCTTATGAAGCGGTTTATGAAGCGGTTCACGAAGTTCACAGTCGGTCCAATGTAAAAGCTATCACAATCGTTACAATTGTTTTTATAGATGCCCTTAGCGTCAAATTTGTTACAATCTTCTATTTTTGGATGCAGTATTTTACTCATGGTGTTCTGAGTCCTGTAGGCTATTGAAACTTACCATCTTTTTTTGCATATTTTCCGTCTTGTGAGTAACAGTATAGGCCTACTGTAAGCGTAAATAAATTTTTTAAGTGTTATAGGCTAAGACGTTTCTTTTATTTACTTTCCGTAAAGATTTACATAATCGACAATCAAAAATTGCATCCAGAACGGTAATACAGACAAATTGAAGGTTCTCTACGGAACTGTTCCTAAATGAGTGTTCTTAAATTAGGAATATGTTAAATTAGCATACTGGTTATTAAAGCTACCAAGGGTTCTTTTACTGTTTGGATCGGGATTAGGTTAAGTAATATATTATCGGAATTATACAGGCCTAGGCCTAATCAGAATTTTATCCCCCTGGAACTTTACCCCCTGAGCAAACCTGACGTCACAAACCATGAGGTAAAATTCCGGGCGTGAACTTTTGAGTTGCGCAACATCAGATCAATAAATTAAAAGTGGAATTTGACTTACCGTAGGCTATATTTTTATGCGGTTGTGAATTTAATCAGAACACATCAAAGATAAAACCTAGATTGTACGGGCTGGAATTTCACCCCCTGAATTTTACCCCCTTAACCCTAGCAGTGGCCAACCGTCGTCTGGTGACGGTTTGACGTTGATGCTTAGAATGGCCAGCCGTCGTCTGGTGACGGTATGGGCCGAAATTATTTTAACGGTAAAAAAACACTTATAATCAACTGCAACTCAGATGAGAATAATATATATACCATTCGAAAGATCACATTCTGAACTTTCGTTTTATTGCATAAACAAACCCTGTAGCAGGTATAACAGTGCCACGACGATAAGAAATCAAATGAATTTTTGGCGCGGAACGACTTAAGCAGCCGACCCTTGGGAACTGGCAAAACACGTCTTGTTTGGCATTACCCTGCTCGGGTAATTTTCGTCTTGGGATGTTGCGGGTGGTACCACTGGATAGCCATTGATTTTATCTTCATTGTGGTAGTGATATTTTAGAACTAAATATTGATTGGACAACCGGTACGATTTTATGAAAACAGCTGTTTTCAAAATTTATAACAAATGGCCAACCGTCGTCAGGAGACTGTATGGAAAATCTATATATATAATTCTGTAAGACCAAAATTTTACCAGAAAATTGTGGCCGTCTGGTAAGTCGCAGAAACGTGGGGGGGTCTAAAGTTAAAGGTCTTGACCCCAGGGACTCGGGAAAAATAGCAGAATTCCCATAAAGTTACCAGAAAACGAGATATAACGTAAAATATCCCCCATAAGAAATGCATGGGGACTGAAAAACGTCTGCATTCTATCAGCTGTTACTTATTTATTTGCAATGTTTACATTTATTCCGAACGTCAATGTTGGTAAATAATGTTTCAAAATGAATTGTGTTTATTTTTTTTGTTTTCCGTTTTTTGAGTGACGTAACAAGTCAGGGTAGGGGAAGACCTGCAAGACGTGGAAGAGTGTCCATGAATTCAACAGACTTAAGAAATACAAAAGAGAACGCCATGTAGGGCCTAACTGTGAAAGAAATCCAGAAGCTGTTTTACAACCTGTCTTTAGAAGAACGCTGGAAAATGAGTTGAGTTGTTTCTCGCAATCTAGGTCCTCTAGCACTTGCATGCATTGTGGCGCATTTCACTTCGCAGAGGAGGCCACAAATGGACATTTCAACGCATGTTGGACATTCCAGAACCACAAGTAAATGACGAACTAACTGTTTTTACATAATTCGAACTTCATAAAAAAACATAAGGCAATACTAGTGCACAACAGTGCAATGCTAGGCTATTGCGTCGCTTTCCGCTACACAAAAAGAGATTCCGGGAAATGGGCCTAACTGTCTTAAATTCAGGGACAAATTCATAGATATATTTCTGACTTACCACTGCCAAATGGGGAGTTGCCTTCATAATAATTAATAATAATTTTAACCTTTACATTTGGTTCTCAAAATGGAAACTATAACAGAGTTCGTAAGATTACAAAACAAACCTTAAATTTTAAATTAGAAAAGATGTGCAATGTTTGGCTGTATGATTTCAGCTCTGATTCGTCGCTCTCCGGGCTCAGGCCAACCGTGTGCACGTTTCAATTTGTAATATGTTGTGTTATTGATTTAATCATTATTTTACAACTAGCAGAGTACCCGTCCTTCGTACGGGATTGGCATATAAGTATAAAATGATTATTGCAGTTATACTCAAGCTTTGTGTTTGCAATTGGGGAGGACACGATTTGATAAAATTTGCTTCTTTAAATTTACGGTATACTATAGCTAATTTACCATCTACCATAGCCATAATATTCTATCACTTCACCTAAACAGTAGAGAAAAATAAATTGTTAAAGATTCGCAAAATATCACAAATGATTCATGAAATTAAAAACATAAAAGTAACTGTAAACAATCCTACTTTGACAGTTCTCATTGCATGTTATAGTTTTTTGTTGTTGCTTAGTATAGTTCAAATTAGCTGTTTCCATAAATGCAAAAAAGTAAGTGCAGCACCCTGTTGGTAAATCTTATAGGTAACTTAAATGCTTGTGCATACCATAGAACCAACTTTTTAAGGTAAAACAGCTGACTAAATTATTTTATTCACTTTAAATATGAATACTCATAAGGTTAACATGGAAAATAACAGAGCCACTGGGGTGGAGCCCGAAAGGATTTTTGAGATAAGAATATGCCTATATGTTAATCGGGAATGTGAGCTATAATCATGCAAAATTTCAGCCCAATCCGTCCAGTGGTTTATGCGTGATTGAACTTCAAACAAACAAACAAACAAATACACAAACTTTCACATTTATAATATTAGGCTAGTAAGATTGTAGGCTATTTCATTGACACATACAACTCCAACGGAAGGAAAACCAAGATATATAAAACAAGAAACACTGTTATTTTAAGTACGGTAACATAAAATTGATAATTTTAGAAACATATTTAGAATATTTGTCTTTTTATATATGGTTTTTGTTATTGTAGTCTAAATTAGGGGCTATGGCCTCTACAGGCCACTAGTACAAATTACATAGCCTACAGTGTAAGTTATTATTACTAGTCATATAATATGTCATTTTGAAGAGGAAGAAATGTAGCTTGTGATAATGGCAGCCTTGCGCTCAGGGTTATTTTCGGTTTCTCTCACTAAGACGACGAAAGTGCGTCACTACTGTCAAGATCTCATGCACAAAGTGCCTTGTATTCACCATTGCGTGTTGTTGCTGGTGAGTTTTCGCTCTCGTTTTATCCGCGATTGATTACTAAATTCGTTATTATTTCGTATTTTTTTAGAAATGTGTATGTGTAGGCCTATATAACAGTAATCTTCATGTATTTTATAATGCATGAATATTTACTGAATAGTGTCAAATTGTGTTTATAAATTGTTGTATTTTCTTTTGGTTGTATTTCGAGGTTTTCCGTTTAGCCTATTTATATTATTATGCCCCTAGCAAGTAAAAACAAAAATTTTTACCCAACATGTTATACATTTTTATGTGGGCTAGGTAATTGAATACACTAAAAGATGTTTATGTTGGTTTGAAGTAAAAACATTTGGTACAAAAGTTGTATAGGCCTACTAAATACTATGATTTTTTTCTCACAAAATTGCTAAAATACAAAAACATGATTTTAAATAAATAAAAAGTATTTTTACCATGAACTTTATGACTTTTTTTGATTTCTTACTTCATTAGCTTTACAAACATGTATATATCATTATTAGTATACACATATATTATATAACTTTTTACAACACAAACTAACACTGTACGGTTTTCAATTTTTTCGGTTCTCCGTTTGTTATTATAGGTATTTCGCCCCATAAACTTATTAAAAAAAAAAATATTTTCCTAACATGTTATATTTTTCTATGTAGGGAATTAGATTATCAACAAAATGTATATAATGAATTCCCCATAAAAAATCTGTAGAAAAAATAATACCGAAGCCGCTTTTGAAATTTCAAAAAAAAAATCAAAATCGCCCAAATGGGTTGGCCATTCCCCACTTCTAACATTGGCCACTGCTCAATGAAGTCAGCTGAAAATGTACCTAATCTGCGGCCCAGATTTTTACCCTCTGGCCAGATATAGAAATCAGTGCTCGAGAATAATCCATTATCTTTTACACAGAGGATACGCGTCCGGTAACCAGACGTGGATTAGGCGTCCGGTAACCAGACGTGGATTAGGCGTCCGGTAGGGGGTCCCGGAACGCCATTACCACAATGATACGATGTTCAGCCATCAGTGTTCGTGGTGTAGTGGATAGAGTGCTCGGCTGATATGCGAGAGGTCCCCGGTTCGAAACCCATCAGTATCTTTAACTTTTTGTCACAGATTTAGCTTTGAATGTAATTTCTTCTTAACTGTACATCTTTTGTTATAATTTTCGGCATTTATAATTTTATGGTATGAAGAGAATTGAACCTTGATTTGATTTTTTTCACTATCAGCAAGTTTGGTTGGTTAGGTTAGGTTATGACAGTAACTGCCGGACGCCTAATCCACGTCCGGTTACCGGTCGCGTATCCTCTGCGTATCTTTTAAATATAAATTGATTTTCCACGGTCGTATAGTAAATCATTTAAGAAATGTTTAACCCAATTATCATTCAAATAGGCTAGACCCAGTTTGTTTACATACATATTAACTAACAGTTGGCCCCAAAAGTCAAATCCCAAAACTCGATGTCAAAATTAAACATCGAAACCTGTTTCTTTAGCACCTGAGAATACAAATATATTGAAATAGGTCTAGGCTACTTAATTATCTGTTTTTATAATGTTTAGGCCTACTATTCAATCAAACCTGAAATAAGAAAATTAAATAGCCTAATCTCACAACTCCTATATAAGTTATTTGCACAGGGGGAAAATTCCAAGGGGTAGCCTAAAAATCCAGGAGAAAAATTCTGGGAGGGACGGGGAGGAGTAAAAAATTGGGGGGTATAAATCCGGGGTATAATTTCTGGGGATAAAATTCCGGGGGTATAATCTAGGCCTTACATCTACAGTTGCCTGAACGCTAGTTATATGGACAAGGGGTAAAATTCACAATTTATCACGCTCTGTCTATTTTCATTTGACTCTCAAATCTGCCACCGGGTGAAATTCCGCCAGCAAACAAACTTAAGAGTGCTCAGGTTACCATGTCACAACATCTAAACACCTAATCTAACCTACCTAACTTCAAAACATTTACAGCCAAGAATCTGCATAAGTTAGTTAAAGCCCAACTTGCCCAAGTAAATAAAGCCTAGTAAATAAAGTAAGTAAAGCCCAGTTTGTCATTTTAAGCCCTTATTATGACCCTCCTGTATTCCTGGTATAGGCTATGACCATGCTACGGACTTGTGCGTTAAGGTGTCCTTTACCTCGTGACCATATTGGTAATAGGGTACTGTGTGCGGCCGTATTTTTCCGCAAAACGGAAAAAACAGTGCCGTTTATTGATTTTTAGAAGGGGTAACTTAGGGGACTGACTATTTTGTTGACCCGGGTCAACAAATTCAATATATTTAGGAAAAAACCACTTGGGATGTAGATATTTAAATGAAACTTGGAACGAAGGTATATCCACATGTATTCTACACGTATGTAACATTTGGTAACTATAAAAATATATTTACCTATTTTATTAACTAAAAACCGCCCAAAATAGCTCATTTTATTTTGTTGACCCGGGTCAATCGCCTAAAAAAGGTACTAAGAATTTAACTATATACATGAAACTTGAAACAAAGGTATATCAACATGTATTCTACAAATATGTTTTATTTGGTAACGATTAAAAAATAATTATATATTTTATTAACTAAAAACCGCCCAAAATAGCTCATTTTATTTTGTTGACCCGGGTCAATCGCCTAAAAAAGGTACTTAGAATTGAACTGTATACATGAAACTTGGAACGAAGGTATATTCACATGTATTCTACACGTATGTTAAATTTGGTAACGATTAAAAAATATTTACCTATTTTATTAACAAAAAACTGCCGTAAAAAGCTAATTTCATTATGTTGACCCGGGTTAATTTACCAATAAAAGGTACTTAGAATATAAACTATATACATGAAACTTGGAAAGAAGGTATATTTACATGTATTCTACACATATGTAACATTTGGTAACGATAAATAATTATTTACCTATTTTATTAACTAAAAACCACCCAAAATAGCTCATTTTATTTTGTTGACCCGGGTCAATCGCCTAAAAAATATACTTAGAATTGAACTGTATACATGAAACTCGGAACGAAGGTATATCCACATGTGTTCTACACGTATGTTAAATTTGGTAACGATTAAAAAATATTAACCTATTTTATTAACAAAAAACTGCCGTAAAAAGCTAATTTCATTATGTTGACCCGGGTTAATTTACCAATAAAAGGTACTTAGAATTAAACTATATACATGAAACTCGGAACAAATTCTACACGTATGTTAAATTTGGTAACGATTAAAAAACATTTATCTATTTTATTAACTAAAAACTGCCCAAAATAGCTCATTTTATTTTGATGACCCGGGTCAATCGCCTAAATAAGGTACTTAGAATTGAACTGTATACATGAAACTTGGAACGAAGGTATATCCACATGTATTCTACATGTATGTTAAATTTGGTACGGTAACAATTAAAAAATATTTACCTATTTTATTAACAAAAAACTGCCGTAAAAGCTAATTTCATTTTGTTGACCCGGGTCAATCACCAATAAAAGGTACTTAGAATTAAACTATATACATGAAACTTGGAAAGACGGTATATCTCCATGTATTCTACACGTATGTAACATTTGGTAACACTAAAAAATTATTCACCTATTTTATTAACTAAAAACCGCCCAAAATAGCTAATTTTATTTTGTTGACCCGGGTCAATCGCCAATAAAAGGTACTTAGAGTTTTTTAGTCAATGAAATTGATAAATATTTTTTTCTCGTTAGGCTACCAAATTTTACATACGAGTAGAATACATGTGGGTATACCTTCCTTCCAAGTTTCATGTATATAGTTTAATTATAAGTACCTTTTATTGGCGATTGACCCGGGTCAACAAAATGAAATTAGCTTTTACGGCAGTTTTCTGTTAATAAAATAGGTAACTATTTTTTAATTGTTACCAAATTTTAAATACATGTAGAATTCATGTTTATATACCTTCGTTCCAAATTTCGTGTATATAGTTTAATTATAAGTACCTTTTATTGGCGAGAGACCCGGGTCGAACGAAATGAAATTAGCTTTTACAGCAGTTTTCTGTTAATAAAATAGGTAACTCTTTTTTAATTGTTACCAAACTTTACATACGTGTAGAATTCATGTTTATATACCTTCGTTTCAAGTTTCATGTATATAGTTTAATTATAAGTACATTTTATTGGCGATTGACCCGGGTCAACAAAATTAAATTAGCTTTTACGGCAGTTTTCTGTTAATAAAATAGGTAACTATTTTTTAATCGTTACCAAATTTAACATACCTGTAGAATACATGTGGATATACCTTCGTTCCAAGTTTCATGTATATAGCTTAATTATAAGTACCTTTTTTAGGCGATTGACCCGGGTCAACAAAATAAAATGAGCTATTTTGGGCGGTTTTTAGTTTATAAAGTAGATAAATATTTTTTTATCGTTACCAAATTTTACATACGAGTAGAATACATGTTTATATACCTTTGTTCCAAGTTTCATGTAAATATCTACATTCCAAGTGTTTTTTTTTCTTAATATATTGAATTTGTTGACCCGGGTCAACAAAATAGGGAGTCCCGTAACTTAGGGACTACTTATTGGTGAGTTATTGACAGGTTCACAAGTACTTAAGTTAAGTTATATCCTGGAACTAAATAATGATCCTGTTTGTTACAGTTAAAGAGTAGGCCTAGCCTTAGCCTAAAAATAACTTAGGCTAGGCCTGTGTCAAAATGTATAGGCCTAAACACGCAATGCAGCCGTTGATAATAATCACCTTTGAGTTAATCTTCCTTTATGAAATTTTACTTCAACGGCAACTAGGCTAAGTTGGGTCTAGCTTACTAGACTATTGTGAAAGCGAAGCTGTTTTTATCTCAGCATAACAACAATAACCAACCAGTTCACTGACACCCATTCTTAATCTCACTAAGTTAGGCCTAGTTTTTCGTTTCGAACCTCGCGTCCGCACTCCGCCAACACCGAACACCACTGATTGAATTTGAATAATGGAAATATTTGTTACTGGCTGACTAATCTAAAACAGACGGATTCAATAAACACTACAACACTTTGATTGAACATAAAGATAAAACTGAAAATAAAAAACTTTACAGGACTCGGTCAGTAGTCGGGCTTAGACAGGTCCACCGTCCACCATTATTATTATTTATTAATCATTTTATTTTACTTGTTCTTCTTACTTTTTCGTTTGATTCAGAAAGCTGGCTTGATTTAACAACCATGTAGCGGCATTATTTCGTCAATACAATTTTCCTGGGCTTTTTCAAAATGCATGGTGCTTTTGTTTTTTATAATAATTAGAATTTCCCGAGGTTCATAGCTTAAAGTTAGCGTGGATAGATATTTTAAATTTGAATGTCTTGTTTAATTATCTAACGTTTATGTTTCATAATATCTAAAAGTTGGGTTCCTGTTTCTTTTAAAAATTTTAGTAATGGTGGCCATAGCTTGCATTTTTCCATTTCAATTTTTCATTTGTTGACTTTTATTTTTTCGTTTTTTAGTGTTGCCACACACCTCCGTCGGAAGGAATCCCTCCTCACGATCATAAGAATTCCGTTGTTCCCTCACAAATCCGTGCACAATACATACGTGTAAATCCGCGCACTCTGAAAAACACATTTTCTCCGTCCAAACCAATGTTATTTTATGATCACAATCAATAACTTTAGTGAATTTGGCAAAATATTGTATATCAAAGAATTTGTAGATCATATCAAGGGATGAAAAATAATGTGATGAAAACTGTGACGTTACTATAGCCTACAAGTATTTAATGTTGATGGGAATAAATGGATTTGATTAACCTGAGTCTAATAATATACGTGAAAGAAAACCGGGTTTCTATTATTTTTTAGCTAAATATATAATAATGTAACGAATTATAACAAATAATTAAAATGTAACAATAATCAAAATATGTTACAGGCTTTCAGTATTGATTGTCATCGTGGTGGAAGGAAAAAAACAGAACTGATACAAGATACAAAGTTTGTACACAAAATAGCATCTTTCATGAATGCACTGTATTATTCTACTGTATAATCATTAGCTCCTACTGACAAAGTGTTTCTCTTTAGTTACAATACAAAGAGTCACGATTTAGTGTTGAAATTCCCAAATATTTTTAAAAACTATACAATTGGGTGAATTCTTCCCAAAATAAGCTCACAACCCTGATCCTTTTTTTCAGGGGGGGGGGGTTACGCAAGTTTACGCACGCACTGAAAGGCTCAAGGCTCTAGGCCCTGCTATATAGTAGTACTGTATACCCTCGCCTCAGCAAACCTGCAGACTAAGCGAATTTCCATTTGCCTGATTGGATTTCCACTAAAATTTCTCCTTAAAAATATCACATTTTTATTCCCTATCTAAATAGAATCAGTTTAACACATACTTAGGTTTGCTGCAACAGGGAGGGTAAAAGTGTTTTTTTTTATGTAAAATGTTAATAGTTAGTAAGAAATAAAAACATTTTCCAAATTTGGGCAAAATATGTTAATAAACAAGCAAACTACAACAGTTTACTTATTCTCCATAAGAATAACATGAAAATTTTAAATTTACAATTTTTTCGAATTTTTTCCGTAACCATTAGGTGCATTATAACGCTTTAATATACTAAATTATTTGGTTTTTAAGCTCTACAAAATTGTTTGGAAAGAAATTGCAAAATTTTATGTTTTTTGGGTCAAAAATGGGAAAATCCCATTTTTACCCCATAAAAGTCCCCATAAACCCCATTTTTACCCCATAAAAGTCCCCATAAACCCCCGTTCCCATGGTCCGATCATGCTGGTTCGCAAACTCGTTCGAATAAACGTAGGTTTACACGTTTGTACCAAATTTGATCAAAATCGGATCATTTTTGCTCGAGTTATCGCGCTAACGGACACACACACACACACACACACACACACATATATATATATATATATATGAATTTGAACCGATGGTGTTTTTGGCCTCTAGGGACCTCAAAACGAAAAAAAGTAGTAGACGTAGCACAGATTGCGGACAAAATTGACCTTGAGATGATCTAGGTGTAGATAGGGTACTCTCAGCTGATCAGCTGGATGTAATCTAACCACAGCTGATTAGCTGACGTCAGTAGGTATTTGTATTAAATAAATTATTAAATTAAATATTAAATTATGGATAAAAAGTGTTGGCTTGACCGGGTTTCGAACTCGGTTCTTTTGAATGGTAGTCGGGTTCTTTACCATTGAGCTAAAACAGCTGTGTTAAGGGTATAGGTTTTATATCGGTAAACGACACCTTAACTTATAGAGTGTGTCAACTTACAGGGTGTGTAAATATTGGAGTTTTAATCTTAGCCTATCATTTGGAGGTCTATGGGTTCAATCCTAACCAATTATTTAGAGGTTCATGGGTTCGAATCTAACCAACCACTAATTGTATTATAGTGAGAGGTTCAGGGGTTTAATCCTAACCCTATGCTAGAGGTTCACGGGTTCGAATCCAACCAACCCCTAGTGGTATTATAGTGGGAGGTTCACGGGTTCAATCCTAACCTATCATTTGGAGGTCTATGAGTTCAATCCTAACCTATGCTAGAGGTTTACGGGTTTGAATCTAACCTAACATAAAATATATCATTGGAGGTCTATGGGTTCAATCCTAACCAATTATTTAGAGGTTCACGGGTTCGAATCTAACCAACCACTAATAGTATTATAGTGAGAGGTTCAGGGGTTTAATCCTAACCCTATGCTAGAGGTTCACGGGTTCGAATCCGACCAACTACTAATGGTATTATAGTGAGAGGTTCACGGGATTGAATCTAACCTAATATAAAATATATCATTTCCGGTTATTTAATCCTAATCTATGCTAGAGGTTCACGGGTTCAATCCTAACCTATCATTTAGAGGTCTATGGGTTCAATCCTAGCCTATGCTAGAGGTTCACGGGTTTAATTCTGTCTTGGTTGGAGGTTTACGGGTTTGATTCTAACCCAGCAGGTTTTGTAAAAAAAACACTTTATTCTATATATGCTGTAGTGTATAATGCTTAAGCGGAACCTTACCGTTGAGCATAAATACTGTCAAATGTTGGATGTTATGTGTTTTGAGGCGTGTAAAAATGTGTTTTTGGTATAGTGGGAGTTTTAAAGGTTTACGGGTTCAATCCTTTGTAAAAAAAAACATTTTATTTTATATATGCAATAGTGTATAATAAATGTTAAACAAACATATGTCAAAAACAGCTGAAAGAGGGCTTAAATTTACCATTAAAAGCTACCAAATATACAGTAGTATGTTTGACTTTATGCTAAATGAGTTATTTTGGGTTGTTTTTTCCTTGTAGTGAGAGGTTCATGGGTTCGATTCCTAGTTGGTTATATGATCTTCATGACCTTGTATTGTATATGCATTCCACCAATTAATATATTCTCACTCTATGTACTGTGTATGTATGTTGTCTGTTTTCCCGCTAACGTTTTCTGCTATAACCTTATTTAAGTACATAGGAGTTGTCATCTGATAATGTGACCTTTCCACCAAATTGGCATTACCTAGGAGCTGTTATCTGCTTTAGTAACATAATCATACCTATGTACGTAAATTAAGTATTAAATTATGAATAAAAGTGTGTACTTTGATTGGGTATCAAAACCTTAATATTTTAGGTAATGGTCAAATTGTCTTAGTCATAGAGCTATGATCACAACTAATAGCTTATGTTATTATGGATGAGGTAATGATTATGGTGGGTAAAAAGTGGCCCCATATCCTATGTCTGGGGAAAGATGGCCTCTAACTAGTGGTGTTTAAATGAATGGAAATAGCTAACTAGTGGTATCCACAAGAAATAATGTGCAGCCTATATCAGCCTATATCTTGTTATCCTAAAGGAAAGATAACAAAACCGAGGAAAACGTTGTGATTCAAATATCTTTATCTAACCATATCCTGTGCAGCGATAAGTTACTTGTTAACAAAAAGTTGCTCTCTAATTATGTGTTATAAAATGACACTGGAGTATTAATGAAATATGCTTTAGGCAATTTTATTGATGTATTGAATAACAAAGCATCTGCAGATCACCTGACAAAAATTATTTTATAGTAATGAATGTATATACTAACTTACTTGTAACTAGCTAACCGAAGATTCACTATAATGGATTACACCAACATTAGATATGCGAGTGATGTCTAGAGTAGCTTTTATTGACTTTTTTATGAAAACAATATTTATGTACTACCTCAACTTTTAATTTCTGGGTACACTTAGAGAAATAACTATGTAACAAGACAATAGTTAAATTACCTATGTCTAATGGTTGAGTAATCTTTTATAGGAATTTGATGAATTATATCTTCAGTACTTATGAGCTGGTAAACATTATATTAACAAAACAAATAACTGTGTGGTACCTAGGTATAATTTAATAGAACATGTGTGTTGTGTATATTATGGGTTGGAATGTTTTGATGTAGCTGAAAATCTTGTTTATTGCAAGATTATAACAAGCTTAGTATACTTTTGTGAAGTGTTTAACATAATAATATATTTCTATAATGAGGGTGAGCATTGCATCCGTCTATGTTGTCACATCTCGACTCCTTGTGTAGAAGAAATTTTAGTCACTTTTCCAAAAATAATTATCCACCAGAAACAAATCTGTAAAACAATTTAGTTCTGATGGGGGCTGTGGAAAAATTAATGTCCACTTAAATGTAACTAAATGTAGCATTTGTATGTGGAGAAGTATATTGTCATCCTTGTGGTAATAAATAGCAACAACTATACATGTACTCAAAGTTACTGATGAAAATTTATGCAGGGATAAAATAGCTGTTAATTTACGTTAGGTTTCTATTCTCTATAAGAGACTATGTTAGACCTGAAGTGTTGACCCCAACTACTCATATCCTCTGCCAAGGTATGTATGTAATACCGGTAATACCTAGTTATTTATGATTATTCAGCTTTGTAGCGAGCGGGGACCAAGCACGCATGATAACACGATGTCTGCACCGGAAGCTTGATAACTGCTAAGATGCAAATACCCCCACTTCGTATTATTAAGCAATATGTTGAAAGATATGTTAGAGATACAATAATATATCCAAACTATAGCACCTAAACAAGCAATGT